TGCTAAAACAATAATCACATAAATGCTGGTCTTTCATACATAAAAAAGTACTCGCATAAAAACACTTCCACCTGTAGGAAATTATCCATTCATAAAACCATGTACATGTAGTAGGAATTGTATCAGTAGTAGTTTTTCTATAGCCATGCCACAGCCGTGCCCTCTTGTGGCCTTTTATATAAGGGAAATATTAAGAACTAAAATGACTAAATCTAAAACTTTAGAATTACAATTGACTCTGATACAATTTGTTCTCACAGAAGTTTGCAAACAAAAATACAATTTGTGTAGGCATGTGTATAAACAGCAAATATGATACAAAGAAGGGTAAAACCCTATATTTGTTATTCAATAGTCAAAAATGAAAGTAAACAAAGCCATTTAAGTAGCCACTGTAACATCAAGGTACTGGACTTAATTCTCTTTTTTTTTTAATTGGTATTTTTGTACAAAGGATTTTTATGCACACCTTTACATACGCCTATAAATTTCTTTCAGGCTTCCTTAAAATTAAGATAGTATAATGTTAAATATAGAGAAAAGATAATGGTAAATGCATCATAAAAAGGCAATAAAATGTCTTTCCGCAACCTAGTTTCCCAATCAAGTAATAACTCCCCTCCCTGCTCACTCCATTATCAACTGAAAGACCCCTGCTACACATAATAATAAAACAGGCTGTCTGGTCGGAAATGAGAGAAATGCAATTATTCCCCCAAAGTTCCATACTGCATCTGATTATCACTTATCACTTTCTCCAGACAACGCTCTCATCCCAAAAGATATGTTATAATAAAGAGAAGTGTCAATTTTCCTGTAATATTATGAATTACAGTGCCAGCACAAACACAGTGTTATCAGCTAGAGGTGCGCTCTCCTATTTAATCGCGGGGTATCTGTAACCATCGGAATAAGGAAGAGCACGTCATGATGTCTCATTAGGACTTTCTATACACAAAATTGGAAGAATGTAGGGTATGGAAAATGAGGGACCCACTCCCTGAATTATCCCAATACACTCTGGTCTTGTAAATTGGTTTTCTGGAGAAAACTGGTAATGAAAAAGCTATAATTTTCAATAGTTACAAAGCCTTGGAGGGATGTACTGTGCTCTGGTAGCTTCCACCCTCTTCTGGGGCAGCACCTTCCTATGACATACCTATAATTACCTGCTTGTATGACATAAACTACGCCTAATTATGCCCCGGTTAACAACAAGCCCAAGGCAACTCCTAATCAAGAACTGGAGTTGGCCACGGATAAGTAGAAATTAGTCACTGAGGTGGCTGCCTCTCTTCTCCAGGCAAGAAAACTTAATAAGATTTTTAATGAGAGAAGTCAAGTGGTGTAAAACAGGGTCAGATTTCTTCAAGGTTGGCTGGTCGCCTGAATGTATGTCTCTCACCTCAAATCAGTAATTGACAGTTCAAACTGCCTGATCAGTTTTATTGAATGCCATTTTGTTGTGTAATGCAAACATGGGTATAGAGCTGTCAAAATGTGGGCCGTATTTGACCCCATCCTATCTTTGCCCTCACTAAAATATGTATGTCTCATAACAACTGTTATAAGATAGAACCATGTCGAGGTTACATTTTACAAGGGTGGCTTACAAGCCATTTACACATGTAAACAATATTCTATCTGTTCTAGTGGTGAGACTTTATAGGAAGAAGGACATTAGACTCCCTTATCTGTCATGAACATTTACCAGTCCTTACATCTTGATATTGAAATCCTTTAATACCACATCTGACATCCAGTAAATACAATTTATTTAATATATCACTGATGCCTTGAACATTACATTGGAGTGATCAAATACTGATTACAGCAATATATGAGGTGACAAGTGAGCCGGGTCTTCTGAACACATGAATCATGGCAGACATGAAGAAACTAGCTGTCTGTACATATTACATATTGGCAAGCTGAAGCTGAAATAATAAGCAGTTTTAAAAGCAAGGCTTAAATTGATATTCACTCTAGTGAATATTGCATTTCAAATTCTACATATCATACTCAGGTCTATTCAGTAATACTTGGGGGGTTTGGCGACATATCTCCGTACGGAGACATACAAGTATTTCATCACCACGCTGCACCCTGCAACCAATGAGATGATTAATATCAAATGACCATCACGATAGGAATAAATTGCAGACCTCCGCTGTTCTTATTAAGAATGGTGAGGTGAGGCTGCCGGACACCTTATTTCTTCTGGCATTTTTGTCAAAATTAGACTCCTGCTGGCTATGTTAAATTTTGCCAATTGCATATGGATTATTTAGTTTGGCTCATAACGATAAGAAATTTAAATATTTTTTTGCCTTTTCTGATATATTTGACCTTTTCAGCTATCTGGTGAGGATTATTGAACTTACGACTTTACAAGAGCAGGCCAAAAATTAATTTTGCACTAACAGACTAGAATATCAAACCTATGACAGACCAATCCCTAACACGTTTAGGCATTTTACAAATTAAGATGTGCTTTTTGAATTTCAATGTTGAAATATATCTTACTGCCTTGTGGCTGACTATTAAATTTACATAATAAATACTTATAGGATTACCTGCCTTGCATTCGTTTTTTTTTTCTGAAAGGCCACGATACAGACAAGAAAAATTAAATTCCAAAAGTCGAGGTCACTATCTTATAAACATATTGAACACCAAGCTTTTTCCTTATGCTTTATAAAATCAAAATTTGTTATGAATTTCTGCTCCTCTACTTCTCTTTGTCCTTAACCCTCTCCAACACCCTGATACTTTCTCCTTCTTCACCTGTTGGAAGTTGGAAACAAAACTGTTTGCTCTTTACCGGCAGTGCCCTTACGCAAGTAACAGTGTAGCATGGGGGATAATGCACATTCCTAGCTACTACTACAGGTAAATTCAAGGCAATTATCTCTTACAAATGTAATTACCAGGAGCTCTAAATTTAGAAGGACAAAACACCTGGAAACCACCTGCTTTAACTGCTTTGACATACTTAACATTCCATACTCAACCACATTCTTTGATCTACTATAAATCACATGTAAACTTTTAATTATTATTTCATTTCAAACTTGACATTTAAACTTGAAAGTGTCCCCATTAAATTTACCTTATTCACATGAGACTGTCAACAGACAATATTAGAAGAATGTTGGACCTATATAACTTATCTTTATCTGTATGTTATACTCCCATTTTTTCAAAAAGGAAGGAATTAAACATTATTACAAGCATTCATACATTACACTGGCTCACAATTTTTATTTGAATTTAAAAGAAATTTTAAAATTTAAATTTCAAAGATCAAATAAGACATTCCACCAGGCAAGTTCACACAAATCATAATTTATCACTTAATCAACCTCCTTTTACATAACCCGCCCCCACCCTTTACATTTCACAACACCCATGAATTACCCCTCCTCCAACTTGTCTGCTGCTTTTCAATTAAAAAGTAAAGAAGCGTGACTAGATCTCATCTCAATCTATACATCCGTTAAAAGAAGAATCACAATGAAGAGATCCGCCTAAAATGTAGCTCAAAACGTAATGTGCATAACTCTAAAAATCAGGTGATTTTTCAGCTCATATCTTTTGACGCTATTAAAATACTTTCTCCATCTCCTGGATACATCACTTGTGCCTCACATATTACAGCTGAACATGTGCACCGCACGCACCTTATCTCATGCTAGGGGCGTACTTTCTTTTCATCTTTGTTATTAAAGCTTTTTCAATTGAAAATAATGTTCAAGGGCAAATAGGTCACCCCAACTGTTTAAAAATCTTTATTTTGATTTGTATTATCAGCCCGTCTTTGCCTTTATCTTCCGTTTTGTGTTGGAAAAATTAAATCATTTACTGATCTCTCTGTCTCACATCAATACGTTTACCTCTGTTGTGCCAGGGAATGTTTTAGTTTATATTTTGATTTTGAGCAAATATGTACCTGAAGTAGATGATAATCAATCTTGCCAGCTAATCTAAATTCAAACACAGCGACATTTTTGCAACAAGTAAATAATGGAAGTTAAACAAGAGCTTGAAAGGACACGCTTCCTCTTCAATTTTTTTAGGAAAAATTCCCAATTTCTAAAAACTGGCAATGTTTCAGATCTACACAAATTCTTAAAGGGACAGCATATACTTTTCCTTTTTGGAACATGCAAAGTAAGACAAGTGTGCTTATCCCTAAAGCACAAGATAGTACAAGGATACCATGATTCATTCATACTCAGAAGTCCTGTGAGCAAATATCATGTGAAGAGCATGAACCAAACAATTCAAACAAAACGAAGGAACTAATGAATTGCGTGACATGTGTAATACTTACACTTACATGAAAAGAACGTCACTGACCATAATGCCAGCAGCCTTCCGACATCTATCAAGTTAAACATTGGACGAGTGCTTTCTTGATTTCATCCTACGTCATGTTTGGACAAGCACTTCCTCCACGCAGCTTTGTTTTTAATGTACAGGGCACTGAAAGAATCATTATGTAGAAGTTGAAATGTNGAGAATGCGCTCTATGTCTCACATCAATACTTTTACCTCTGTTGTGCCAGGGAATGTTTTAGTTTATATTTTGATTTTGAGCAAATATGTACCTGAAGTAGATGATAATCAATCTTGCCAGCTAATCTAAATTCAAACACAGCGACATTTTTGCAACAAGTAAATAATGGAAGTTAAACAAGAGCTTGAAAGGACACACTTCCTCTTCAATTTTTAAGGAAAATTTCCCAATTTCAGAAAACTGGCAATGTTTCAGATCTATCCAAATTCTTAAAGGGACAGCATATACTTTTCCTTTTTGGAACATGCAAAGTAAGACAAGTGTGCTTATCCCTAGAGCACAAGATAGTACAAGGATACCATGATTCATTCATACTCAGAAGTCCTGTGAGCAAATATCATGTGAAGAGCATGAACCAAACAATTCAAACAAAACGAAGGAACTAATGAATTGCGTGACATGTGTAATACTTACACTTACATGAAAAGAACGTCACTGACCATAATGCCAGCAGCCTTCCGACATCTATCAAGTTAAACATTGGACGAGTGCTTTCTTGATTTCATCCTACGTCATGTTTGGACAAGCACTTCCTCCACGCAGCTTTGTTTTTAATGTACAGGGCACTGAAAAAATCATTATGTAGAAGTTGAAATGTAAACAATGGTTTTCTTCTTTACTCAAGAAACATTTCCTTAAACATTTTAAGCATAAGTGCTCACAGGAAGGAAGTGACATGTTTAAATGAAAACAACATTCCCTCAAATGTTTCAAAATAGTTTTATATAGTTTCTATAACAATGCAAGAAATGCATGAAATTCATAAACATGATAGCCACCAAAGAAGAAACAAAATTACTTCATTTTGAAATTCAATAAATGAAATTGTTTTTAAAGAGTATGCTGCCTGATACACCTAATGCAACTTCTGAAATTTTGTAAGAAAGGCATGTCCTTTCATAAAACTTGAAAGGAATCAACAATGAAAGATAAAAAGATATCCCACAATGGTGATTTTAAATTTGTCACCAGGTTACTTTCAAAACAGACCACAGATATATGTAAGTACAAAAATACTGAAATCAGTGTAAAAATTTATTCTGCAGTCAAATGATTTCTTTTTTTTTTTTCAAAATGGACATCAACGGTAATATAAGCCAAATTTTGCAGCAATAATTGATTTTTGTTGAAAAGTTTTATACTAACATTGCTGTCACATGTCTTGGGGCATGTCGTCTGCCTGTCTCAACACCCACAGTAAAAGGTCTGGCTGGAACTGGAGACAGCAGCTCCATCTAGTGGTGGTTCTTGCTTTGCCTCTAATGGAAGCATGAAGGAATCTGCAAAGGATGGTTAACATTCAATACAAAAAGGTACTAAAAATGATAAAGTGTTAACTTTACGATGCTGTATTGTTATAAACTGAGCTGTGGCCCCATTGTGAAAGGTTAGGCACAGAGGTTACAAGACAAAACTGATTATAAAGAGAAATGATGAGGCCCGCATATCTGTACAATGTGGTGTGTTATGAGAAAAAGATTGTGGCGACAAGCTTTTTTCTGTCAACTAATAAATGAAATGTCAACTCTTTAGGATACTCTCTTTGCAGGAGATGTATAATATAGTACATTTTAAAGAGCATTATCCCCGCTTAATCCTATTCTAAAAGATAAAAACTCAGAGTTTGGGTCTTTTCTCAATGTGAGAACTCTTATATGTGTACAGACACACTGCATATAAAAGCACCATCAAGTTCATGAATAAAACTTCTCAACAAGTGCCATCTCAATGGTTGCTTTATTCTCCTGTCAAATCAATGGTTTTATTGCGCAATTCCATCATAAGATCAAATATGATGGAGAATCCAATGCCATGCTGCACAATTCCTTTCAAGGCATCACCAGTGGATTTTTTTAGAGATTTTAGATTAATAAAGTGTTTTTGTCTGTTTTCATTTTACAATGATCTTACAGTGTTAAAGTTTCAAAATTGAATCATTTTGTCCCCCTCCAAGTGCACGACTCCAGGACTGTCTACCCTGTCTATAGCATCAGAAATTATGAGCACTGAATGCCAATGAGTCAACAATCCCTTATTTGCTCAGAAATTCAGAAAATCAAATCAGATTGCTGATAGGGCCAAGGGCTATTGATTAGATGCAATGACAATGCTTCTCTAAATACTAACAAATTTCAATTCTATTATGGTGCCAGAAGTATGAAATGGTTACTCTGTGGTCTCCCGAGTGCTATCCTGCCCATTGTCAATGCCACTGATCACATTACTGGTCAATAGCTGATAGCTTATTTAATTGGCATGTGTATCAGATTGCATATTCGCACAACCAAAGTGTGCTGTTTAGATAGCAATGAGATCACCAAATATTCCTCCTACTCTACAAGCCTAGTATGAAATGGCATTATGATAACCCCCTCACATCCAGATCAAAGACACTCTGGCGGGCTAAGTGGTCGTAACTTGAAGGCTAATGACATTTCACGAGGAGATAGGTATTAATTAAAAGCTAGTAATGACAAATGTCAAACCTGGTGATGATGTTAATGGCATTAAGTGATTGCACTAATCATGCATTTCATAACCATCAGCTAGGGTCATGGGTTTGGACTTCTAGGAAAAGACAAAAGCCCTATTTCCAAGGAATCTTCTGAGCCATCTGTGAGTAATCCAAGACCATTGTCTTGGCTCTTTCACACAGGGCCACCAGGCCACCAAGCTCTTAGTAATCATGAAAGAGGAGAGTCGTCACCTTCCGTTTTTTAGGTATTTGTGCCAGCTTTGGCCAAAAGCCTGATGCTATGCAGTCCCGAATGACCATCATAAACTGAAATCAAACAACGATAAAATGACCAAAATATTCATAAAATTTGACCATCCCTCAATTCAATTGTTTCTGCATTAAACATGATATGATATCAATGTGCACCCAATCCCCTGATGTGTATATTAACCATGCATGATAATATAAGGTTAAAAATTAACAATCTTTATGTTCCACTGAAAGAATCTCATTTTACTGGTGGATACATATATGTGGGGTACGACAGTAAATAAAGACCAATTTCTAATTCAAAGTAGTGTTATTGTTGTAAAACTCTATTGAAAAAATTCAACATTTTTTCTGAAGAGATAAGCTCGCTATATCAGTTACTACAAAAACAAACTCCAACAACAGCTCAGGATTTTTAAATCCCTGCCTGATCAATGGCTAGCTGAAAGGAGATTCCACCCTGTTCAGGTAGCTGTAGGGTGGGGATGTTTACCAACAGTGGGTGACCCTGTGGGTGACCCTGTAGGGGCCCCTACACTGGGTGACCCTCTCTCAGTCTAAAGAATTACCAACAATAGTGAACAGTTCAGGTCTGGCCCTGTCCTCAGAGTTCTATAGGTTCTAAGCTAACAGGTACTTAGCCCACAGTCTTGTCCTGATGAGGCTGTACCCTGGGGCTGGGGTTCACAGGGGGTGGGGAGGTCAGGGAGGAGAACTAGTGGGAAATCTGCCTCACTATATTGTACCCATGAATAAAGGAGTACAGAGAGACAATCAGTCATGCAATAAACAATGACAGCTTATCCTTTTTTCTCAAAAAACATTTAGTCACTCTCACCCTCCCAACCACTAATTGTGGTTAGGACATAAAACGTGCTTTTCTTATCCACAGAGTAGTGTATGGTTATTTTCTGAATATTGAAATTCTACTCCACACTTAAGGTGTCTGATCTAACTTTGATCCTATTAGGAGCAGACACCTGCTTCCAGGAAGGGACTTACTACTACATTGTGCTCCAAAGTATAGTCTGTCCAAATGCTCATCCCACTCTTGTGCCTAGTCTGGTCTACATGTGTACGTGATTTCTTTAAAACAATATATATAAAAACTATTCATTTTACTAGAAGATACGTACTTTAACCTAACTTTTTTTTCTGACTCTTAAAAATTTAGTGGACAAAAACTGAAATTGATGGAACTGTTCCCAGTCAGAAGATGATGATGATGATGATGATGATGATGATGATAATAATAATAGCAGCCACATTTTTTTCATATTGATGTCAGCAGAGGTAGGACCAAGGGGTGAGTGTCACACAGTACCTGAGAAGAGCAGACCCTAGTGTTGACACATCAGCCTGCAAACAGAGCCTGATCCTATCAGCAAACAGCCAGCATTTGTGCAGGTGTGAGGGATAGGGCCATGATAGGGTCAATATTAAACTTTCATTTCCTGATTAGCCCCTCCGTGCCTCCAGACCACAGTCAAGCATACAGACATGGTGTTTTTGTTTCCACATGAGTATTTTTTTCCACAGAATATATGTGTCAATAATTTGAAAACAAGTCTGGTTTTCTTTTTCTTTTTGATGACAAATAAGCCATAATTTGCCCTGAGAACTCTTAAAGGGACCTTCTCTGTATGGCATAAATTATTATTTAAAATGTAAGTCAGACGGAAAAGAAGACATCTATGATTTATTACATATTTATTAAAGAGGGAGGATCTTTATTGCCATATTGTGTAAGCAGATTCTGGATTTATAATTACATGGAAATAAAAGATGTTATGAAAGTCTTTTTCAATAGTTTGTCTGTTATTGTCTAATCTGTCAGAAACCCAGCGCCTCCCTGGCAAAGTAATTTTATAACTGTACAACCCAAAATTCAATGGGAGTGAGTTATGATAAAACAGGTAAATAGAAATGCCACTGCCACTTACATTCCTACATCTCACAATTAAATAATGTCTGCTGCTGAGAGATGACCACGTTCTCTGTCAGCAATGTAGATGCGAGAGTGCGTTGGCCATCACTGTCCGTCTTGCATCTAACTGCCATCTACACTAAGATCCACGCATACAGCTGTTGTGTGGCACTGCAGATATGTGACCATCTCTGAGCACCAGTATCACCCTCCACCATACCTGGATGACTTCTTTTACTAAAAAGAAAATTTAAACCATATAAAAATTAGTTACTACAAGAACAGACATGCATCAGCAGGGGCGGATCCAGAGATATTTTCTGATATTTTTTTACCATCTTCCGACAGCAAAAGTTAGATACCCGTCTATATAAAATCTTGAAAAGACTTAAAATTCTTACCGTCTTCCAGAAGACCCAGAAAATGGCCTAAATCCGCACCTACACCAGTCAGACCTAATTTGGACAGAAGTTACAGAACCTGGTCTAAACTAATTCATGGATAACCCTCCTAGTCTAGTCTTACTATTATGGATGGGAAAAGTAGCTTTATTCTGATTGAAAAGGATTTTTTTCTGTGAACAATGATAAAATCACATTCTGATCTTACTTATGAATTTTTTTTTTTCCTGATAAATAACATATAACACCTGGCGAGTACAAAGTCATTAGAAAAAAAAAATACTAAACATTTTTTTCGTTGATTTTTAAACTGAAAGGTTCAAAATTGAGAGAGGTGGCTTTCATTTACATGAAACTCAGTCTTGGAGAAAACAAGTGTTTGAAGTTAAAAATAACACCTACTGATATAATATATGACATAATGCTCTGATAACTGACATAAAAAGTGTTTTCATATCTTTCACTCAAATATTCAACAGAGAAAAAAATAAAGTGACTTAACCCGCACTTTTTTGTAAACTAATGGGAATGTATCCCTTTGACAAATGTTAAAATAGCATGTCACTTGAAATATATCACACAAAACTTAAATCCTTTCATGAAGTCTTTGGCACCAGGTCTACAATGAAACTGTCATTCTGTACATAAAAAAGTACAGTTGCTTTTTTTCCCTATATATATTTATCAGTTTCCAAACACTTCAAGTATGACTAAAGATTGGCATCAAACATTATGAAGTTGTATGCTCAATATAATAAAAAATATGTATTTGATGAATAATCAAAAACGGTTACATATACCCATACGTACTATCTATTTCAATATAATTTGGTCAATCTTGTGGATAAAAGCTGATTAAAATCTGGGAAGTTGTAATGTCTAAGGTAGGCCAAATAGGCTGCTAGGTAGGACCAGGTAGGAAGGCAATCTATGCAAGTAGACAAGAAAGGGGAGGAGGTGGGGTGCAAGATGAACTGGTTGGGAAAAAACAGGACGTTAACAAAGACGTTAAAAGTACAAACAGTGCGCCTGTCAAATGTCGATTCTTGAAGGCACAATCAAAAATACATTTTACAACTTCAGCCAACTTGGTTAATCCAAGTAAGTCCAAAAGGTTGAGTTGTCTAGTTATTCACACAGAAAATAAATTGCTTTAAAATGAAATACAATTTTACTGGTTAAAGACCACTCAGTATTAAATATCATATCATATACTCTACTCACTGAGCTAAGTCACTCTGTCTCCTCTTCACCTATAAATCTACCCAACGACATATTTTTCACCTCCACATTCCATAACAACTCCATCAAAACCTCTTGAATATATTTGCATGACACATAATACCCATGCTACTAAATTCTGGTCAATTTGACAGCCATTTCAGGTCAGATATATATATTCTGTTTTCATGAAGATACTAAAACTTATAAAGACAGATAAAGGCGAGGTGATTTAATCGTAATTGGAGCAGCAGGTTAAACTTTTATGTCTTTCCTTACCGCAAAATCTTTTATTTCACAAAAGATTGAATTGCCATCACTGTTGGCAGGGGAAAGTCATCGCAAGGTCAATTGTTTGGAGTTCACAGGGTCAAATGGCAAGAAGAACTGGGATGAAAAATACCTCTGGGAGGTCAATGATAGGTCAATATAATTTTTACAAATTTACATTTAATATATTTTACAAAAAATTAATAATAAATAATAAGAAGAAGAATGAAATTCAATTTAATTAAAAAAAAATTAGAATGAAATAAACTGTACAAATGAAGTACTACCATAACGAGAATGAAAAATTTACTAATGTACAAAAAATTAATTGTTCAAATGAGACACTATCAAAATAAAAAAGAAAGAAAATCAAACAAATGTACAGTCAATACTAGTATATATCAAAGAAAAAGATTGTCAAGAAAATATAACTGAAGTGTTCAATTCATAAAAATTCAATGCAAGAACAAGAATCTATACAAATTTAAAGAAATGATGCACAAAAAGCTCTAGTAAAACTTTTTTATTATAACTCTATCATTTGCTTCATGATTTTTATCAGAAAAAAGTCAGTGACAAAATATGAATGTAAAATCACATCAGTACTGTAACTAAATATATGCCCCTCCTTCACAAACTAGGATATATTCACATCATGATATCTGTTTCAGTACTAAAACGTGACTTCTGCAACCTCGTTTTAATGGCATCTGACCTTGAAGCTGTTTTTTTTTTTTTGAAAGATAGTGATACAATTGTTTAACTTTTTAATTTATGGAGCCTATCTGAATATCATTATCATAAATACTCATATGGACTCTTTATGCACTTGCTCAATTTGAGATTTTAATTAACACTGAGATGTTTGTTGCTTCTTATTTTATCAACGCTATATTATCATCACCCTTGCTGAGATATACTGAGGAGCAAAAAATGCTTGCTACTTTGCCAGATTAAAAAAAAAAAAAAAACAAAAAAATGATACCACATCCACACATGATTTTGAGTGCAAGAAAAGGGTAAGAAAGAAATGGCAGCTCAGCTTTGTGACCAGGGGTCTGGGGGCCACTTCAATAAAAAACTGCTGAGAAAATTGGATTTGGGATTAAGAATGGGAAAAAAATCATGTCTGCATGTCAATAATTTCCACTCTGTGTAAGATATTAAAATCATTTACACAAACTGATCACATCTGTTTCACACCTAAACATTTTAAATCTAAATCAAATCACTTAATGGTAACATTTAAACCCATGCATGATGTTACAAGAGAGAGAGAGAGTCCAGTAAAAAGTCGAGAATATTCAAAGAGCACAAAAATAAGCCACAATAGAAAGTTCTAGATCTAGGATAACTGCCCTACACGACACTGTATTTAGTCTTTGGAGAAACTGTTTCATGACACGCCTGTCTTCATGGCGCCTGGACAGTTGACCTCCCAAATTTAGTTAACATTGTGATTCAAACAAAAGACACAGTGCAGTCCCTCCCCTTACTGCCAATAAATGTTTGAGTGAAAATTGACAGTAGGTGCCAAGTTCTTTAAAATAAAATAACTGATCTGCCAAAAGCTATGTTTGACTTGTCAATGGGCCAGAGTAGGAGGCAGAAGAGTTTCTTTTTCAGTCAGCCAACATTTTTTTTCACTAAAAATAAACAACAATATAAAAAACATTGACCAACAATTTTACCAAACAAAGGTACCAGGAACTAACTTTAAACTTACTCCAATAATCACTATTCTAGAGGGTTTATTTAATGATATATGTTTAGTATTAAAAAGAATGTCAGTGTAGGTTGGAGAGACGGAGACATGATAAACACATGTACTGCCTCCAGGGAGGACTGCCTTCTCCAGCCCTAACATAAGTTAGAGAATACACCATATCAGCAGACTGATTTCATAGCAGATTTACATGCTGTACAAGCGTACTTTTTACGTACACTACACCAACCAACATCCAAGATACAAATGGATACAAACACTGTTTATCACCTCTTTTGACATAAACTACTTCAGGCATTCTTTAATGACTTCCGTTTTTTAAAAGAGGCTTTTATGATGTAAATTGGCTTCTTTGACTCCTTAAATGATTGAATTTTTGCATTTAAATGTTCCAGATATTATTTCTGCCAATAAAGATAATACGTTCAATTACTCACATCACAACTTTGCCAGACACCTTCTATACACAAGACATTAAAACATCATGTATATCAAAAAAACATTCATTTGTAAGTTACCTATATTTATTCATATATTTAAACATATTTACCTACATTTATCTGGACTGAGCATCTTTCAGGATGAGCCACAACTAAGAATCATAACCAAGCACTTTTGCCTGAAATGACAATAACAGCAACTACATTAAAGTTGGAAATGATCACTATTTAGCATAACTGACAACAATAAATTCTATGAAGCAATAAAATTTAAATATTCTACATAAATAGGGCAGAAGTAAAAATAGCTTTATGCCTGAGATATTAAAGCTCTCATCTTGATGTGAATATATCACTAAAATCATTCCAAGTTAACTTCACAAATTCAAAACGATATGGCGAGAGACTAATTTTTGTCATATATACTAGAAAGTGGATAGAAAAATTAGTTTTTTTCCCCTAAGTTTCCGAAATCCTCTTAAGTTTCTTCCTTTGATGCCATTAAGACGTGTTAGGAGGAAATACATTTGCCTAATTGTATTGCACATACATATTAATTAAAAAGCAAAATCATTCAATATTTCCAAGCATAACATCACTAAAGAGGACGCTGTGCCTATGTTATCATGAATAATATTGTAAAATAAAGATTTAAATGATAGTGTTGGCTAATTATTCATTTTTTGTGGGAAAATGAAGTCTGCAAATAAAACCAAAACCATTGTGGTCTCATGATAAACCACACGGCAAGTTAAAACTACATACATTTTTTATGAAGCTCCCTTGAATTTTACATCGACGATTCGTACAATTAAATGTCATTATCCTTGAGCCAATCAAGTTCTTGATTCATTGAGGAAAACTATTTCAAGCAACCCATTTTATCAATAAATTTAAATTCAATCAATGGTATTTTAGCAATAATGCTAATAAAGATCCCAAATACTCCTGGTTTCATAGACAATTTTTGTACATGTATAATAACTATCACTGTATCCTAATTTGAGCTGTAAAAAACTTTTCAATTTTTTTTACAATATCAAGTTACTTTCATCTAATTTTCACAATGCCTAAAATGCAATCATGAGCAGAGAAAATGCTTTCATTTATTCAAGATAAAAAAGAAAAAAAAAAGATTTGTAAGATTTACAAGTGTATACTGGTCATCAAGAAGGTAAAATGATACCAGGGACAATTCATTAAAAAAAATATAATAATAATAAAAATAAACAAATAAATAAATAAATAAATAAATAAATAAATAAATAAATAAATAAATAAATAAATAAATAAATAAAATAGATTATATATAAATAATAATCATCATAATAAAAAAAAATGATAAACTTCCAACACAAATCTACAATTTGCTGATTTCCTTACCTCATGACTAACATACAATAGAAAACTGATATTAACATGAAAAAAAAATTACTACTTTAACTGCTCAACATTTAAGACTTAGAACTTCAGTATGATAACAGTTACAAGACCATAGAATCCTAGGGGCTTGACATTCCACCTGTTATATAATTTCCCATTTCAGGTGTTTCAAGTCTAAATTTGAGTGTCACTAACATAAGAAACTTGGAAAGAAAATATTGTGATATTTGATTGTTTAGCACACATTATTTGAGAGACTTGTTAGTCTTATGAAAAATAACCAATTTATTTTGCATAATGGATAATCATGCGGTGCTAGAATATGTGCTTAGAATGTCCCGAAGAGTGGTGATGACTTATTTTGCTGCTTAATATCCATTAATAAAAAGCAGACATATGTTTACTATTCTAGAAGCAAATACACTTTTCATTTTGAGCATCAATTAAAGCTCATGGTATACCTGTTAAATGTCTGTAATATGTACCACATTCTTTTCAATAATGAAATTACATTTGTTTGCAGAGGAAGTACATAAATACTTTATGTAGCTGTTCAGCATCAGCCAAGTGAAGTAAATATCATCTTTAAGATGTGTCAAAGGTATCTTATCTACAATATTTTGTTGTGAAATCAATTTTTTCTTGAAAAAAAGAAAAGAAATAACAGGTTTTCTCCTACTTATGCATCACAGTTTGGCCTGTCCCTGTACTTGGATTAGATGTTTTATATCATGAAGTATTTACATTCTTTCTGTACTTTTCAGAAGAACATATCAACACCAGGTGCTTATCATTTTTTTAAGTTCAGAACTGGGAAAGATAAATAACTTTGCAAGATACTTTGATATATGAGTTTGGGACATTTCTAATCAGGAATTTGTGAGCCTTCACCTCAATCTAAGTATCTAAGTGATAGAACATTGTCAAAGGTCAAAAGAAAATTAATAATTTGCTTTTGTTGTGCTGAAATCCTATGAACCACCCCTCTGCATTGCACACAAAACAGAGAGTAAATACTTCAGGGAAAAAGAAGATATAAACCAATCTAATACCAATGGGATGTTTAGCAAATCTCTCAGGCAACAAATTTTAAAAGAAATACCTTCGCTTGAAATTTAAGTTGCTGCTTGTATTTGTATGAGGAAACATGTTTATTTCACAGAATATTTTTGATCAAGTGTTATTATTGAGGCTGAATTGTGACAGCTGACCTTCTCCTTTGTTTTTTCATTTATAGATGATAAAGCCAGGTTTTGCACACCTTATCGAGCAGTCTGTTGAAGACATACCGACCCAAGACATACAGTTTAACTAAAAGTATCACACTATCTGGCTGATATTTTAATCAACATAAGATATAGTAAGCAGTGAGTAAAAGGTAATGGATAGGCAATGCCTTTTGCAGCTTACAAACTTTAAAAGTACAAGAATGAATGAGCGACCTGTTAAGAAATGTGCATCAACAGATTCAGATTGCTTTGAGTTTATTGATATTCAACATTACACAAGTGAATGCATAAACAAAGCACACAGATATAAAGATATATAAAGAAGGCTCGAACTACCGAGGTCCAATATATAAAGTTGTACATAGAAAAAAGCTAAAACAAAATGCTATGGGTAAGTTACCTGCTTTGCGGCTTACTTCCGGTATTTGATAAACACTAGCTCCGCAGAAAAAGAATACACACTATTTCAGTACTGATATTTAAGTAAATAAACAAAAATTCAAAAAGTTACGATAAGATAAATTAATTTTGATGAAGTAATTTTCGTTTGTGTTTATCATTAAAGGTAAATACCTACAAAATCCAATGAATTGTAATTGATCAAGTGCGAGAATTATCCAACATGGTTGACGTGTTCCAATACAAATTCGACACGTGAGTTTGTTTTCACTTTTCAATGACTTTACATCATACGAATTTTTCAGAGAGAAACAGAAGAAGAAGAAAATTTATAGGTGGGTATAGCCTATGTACCATGGGGTATTTGGAACATTATATCAATGTAGGATCTTATTTTCCCCGTAGAATTATCTTTTGTCTGTGCCAGTATAATGACGCTAAATCATTGAATGGATTTTGATGATCTGTTAAATATCAGCTTTTTAACACGCTTGTGGAAACAGTGCAGGCAACGTGGCTTTCTACAAGTATGATATTTTCCAAAAGCAAACGGTGTCATCCTCGTGCATTTATTTATTGAAAATAGCACGACTTAATGCGGACAGCCTTTATTTTCAATGCCAAACAAATTTAGAAGTGCTTCGTGCACTGGTTATTACATTACATCATAAAACGATATATATCATATTCTTTTTCAGAACATAGGAAATCAAAACATAAAAGTTACTGAAGATTGATATATCTTGAAATAAGAACCATGTCTAGAGGCAGAAACACTGGTAATCATATGTAATGGCTACTGTATGTGACAAGATATCATGAAATATTTCAATGAATAAAGCATTTCTTTTCTTAAATGTTGGGTCTAATGCATGGAAGATGAATTTATAAAAAACATGAAATAGAAATTGTCAATAATAATTATGTACCTTATGTACAAAATATTTGTATTCCGTTTGCAATTTTGTCTCCTATTTTTGTTGATGATGCTTTTTTTAGGTTGCCCCAAGATGGTTGCACCTGCAGGTTTGGCCTTGTGTCTGTTAATGTTCTGCATTTCATCTGTCAGCTTAGATGCTGTCGATCAAGACCAGAATAATGCTCTAGTGGCAGTCGAAGTGGAAGATGAGGATAATGCAGGTAAGATGCAGCATAATAAATTTTGCATGTTAGACTTTATCCACAAATTATAGCTATTAACGGTAATCATCTGAGTTAGCCTAAAACAAGGCTGTACTCTGCATGACGTCATTCCAGACCAGAAAACATGTGAGAATCTGCATGCAGTAGGGTTAACTTTCAGTGATTAATAAAGGTGAAAATATATGAGCTGGGAATCTCATTTTAGAAAGCACTGCAAAGCAAAACACAAAACCTGGAGAATTGGCGCTGTTGCGTATTAGATTCCATTCCCATTGGTCTACATAGATCAGTCCAACTCTGTGGGGACTCTCGCTGAGTGCAATCAGATTAAATGAAGGACACACCTCCTCTTGTTTCCAACATACTAAAATCACCAGCTTCACTGTATTCTACTTTACGCCAAGAGGAGACCGCAAAAAACAACCAGAAAAATATCCATAGATAGGTACTGTCAGTTTATGTCTGTTAGTCTGCCATTATTTCTGAGCCCACTCTCCACCAAATTCTTTGAAATCTAGCATGATTTTTTAATGACAAATTGTGAGACTTTAGGCTGTCTTGAATAATTTCAATTTTGATTGAAATGAAGAGGTTTCTGGCATTGCCACTTAGGAGCACCCTTATATAAAAAAGTGACAATTGCTGGTATGTAAATATAATGAAACATGAAATCATTTCACAAACTGAAGTTTTTGTCTTATTTAATATGACTATATTTTTTTAATGATACAGTATTCAAAGAGCAATTCTCAAGCACTATGGGTAATCAAGATATTTTAGTATAAGAGGATTTATGATTGCTCAAATTTTGTTAGATGCACAGGAATCTGTTCAGATAGGAGATGGTGAAGATGAGGTAGATGTCTTTTATCCAACAAAAGAATGGAAGACTATAGGAGATGGTATGTAATTATAACAATTAATTCTTGAGAAAATGGAGTACTCTTACTTCTGAATTTTCCCCAGTGCATCATGAATTAAGACAAGAAAAACTTTGTATGAGTTAAAAGTTCCATTTATATATTCATAAACATGCCTGAATTATTAGAGGTAAATTGCAAACATTGAATACTGTATACTCATTGAACACGATTTGTATAATTAGATACAGTAATTAGATACAATGTATATGCTAATTAAACTTTTACCACTGCTGTAGGTCAGGCTATTCCAAAAGGGCTCCATGTCCGCATGAACCTTCAGACAGGTCACAAAGAGGCCAAACTAATGGATGGAGATAGTGGCATCAAGTACTGGCAGCAGGGGGACAAGAGAGGTAATGAACAACATTACAATGCTTGTAACACACAGCCCTGTAGCTGACAGTTTCAAAAGGGAGTTCTTTTTCTGAAAAAGTGGTTTTTTTCCCCCTTTAGTTGCCCCCCCCCCCCCCCCGCTACATTCCTGCAGACAATAGTCAAATTGCATGTGAAAATGGAAGCCAATCCCTTATAATGGCAGCTCCTCAAAGTCAAAAACATGAATTGAAACATAATTTCGTACACTATAAAATGAACCAGTTGGTGTATGTGAATTATGCAGCAGAACATTTTGTCTCAAAATGTGTCAAACTCACAAATTATACTAACACCCCCTTCCGTCCTTCACTATGCCATGATACAATTTATTTAAGAATACACTTCTTACACATTGAAAGAGACAAAACTGCATCTTTTTATTTCTTGTCTAAATTTTGCAAAGAGATATGCCAGTAAAAACAATTTATGGATTTATTAACATTAGGATTTTAATCAAATATTACTGTTTGCTTAAAGAAAAAAACAATACTCCAAGTGTGATGCAATCTTTGAAAAAAAGACATGATCGATTCCTCCCTTATATAAAAAAGTAAGATGTTTTACTGTCATATCTACTACCAAGTTTCCAACTGTACATAGGTGCGTCACTCTTGTGGATGATAGGATTGGCTATACAGCCTTTTGAATTAACTTCTAATAGTATTATGGCTCTAAATCATGAATGTCAACATATTTTTCAGTGATATTTGCCTTTGTGCATCGATAGTATTAGAATTATATATATATATATATATATATATATATATATATATATATATATATATATATATACACACACACACCTTTTTTTCGTAGAGAGTGTCACCAGTATAATTTGACTGAAAAAATACATTCCATTTACCGTCACCAAAGTGCACCATGTTTTAGAGTTCAAGGCCAGTGCTACAACACATACGTTCTGGAACATTTTTTCTGTTGGAGCAGCCAACAAAACTGCTGATGGCAACCAATAAATTCTTTGTATTTACCACAAGTGTAGATCCTGGTGACAGTGGCACCGCTTAGACCACATGCAATAATACACTTCATTTTAACAAATACAAATTCTTTGCGTGGTAGTTTGGTTTGAGAACTTTGAGATTGCCAGAGGTAATACTGGAACGTGAATTTGTCACAAGATTCTCTCATCCCTACATATTTCTTGACACTGGCTCCAAAAGGATGAGTTTCACTGTGAGAAATGTCCCACGTTGTCGCGACATTCAGAAGGAAAAGGTTTTTGTACTTGGTGCATAAAGGCGACTGTTGAAATGTCCTGCAGCTGGTATTTGGTAGGGAATGTAGCGGAAGGAAGCTGTATCCGAGGTAAAGCACCCCTAATAAAGTGTACTTTAAGTTTGTCTCAAATCCTTATAGAATATTTAGAAGAAAGGTTATGTGTAGTTGATATATTTTGTTGACTTTAAGGTATCACCCAAAAATGCTGAGCTAAATATACCATTTACACTGCAGTTCAATCATATTTTGTGCTTTTCACTCATTGTATGAAATATTTTGGGATAGATATCACCTCTGTGATTAAAGAGAGAATATTTTACGTAATATATTCAAAAAATTCTCTTAATCATTCTTTGTATCAACAGTGTGGAGTCAGTTGTCATTCCTCTTAGAAATATTTTATATGGTCCTCCTTAACAATCTTGTCATGATGAGATGTGGTGTGCATTAAATTTCATGAGTTTAGAGCCTTTTTCATGTAAATCATATTTTCATTAAGGGAAGCTGAAAAACATCTATATAACATAAACACTTACCTTTTTTATACTATTAAAATTGGCAAAAATGCTTTCATCTCACTTCAAGAGGTTGAGGAATTTCCTTTTTTATGTTTTCATAAAGTCACACTTTGCTGAAGAAGTATACCATATAAGGGCATTGATAGAAAATGTTTTGACATAAAAGATTTTGGTTTGTTTACTAAATCTACAGCTAATATTCCAACAAAGGATCAAGAGTATTTTTGATAAATGTATATCAGAGTTTAATAATAACAGTAATGATAAGGTTTGCCCTATTCAGTTATAACATGAGATAGAGGGGCGACTTTGAACTTTGACTTACATGGTAATAATAAAAGGAAAGATCTAAAGTGGTATTTTTCCCTGCTAATGACTTTTTTCCTGATGAACCTGATCTCCCGTTTTGAACAAACAGACATTCCAGAGGACTTGTACAGATTGCTTCAAGTCTACAATCTGTGAGGAAGAAGTACAAAGGAATATGTCTGTAAAACTATGATTGATGAAATGCTTCACCTTCCAGACTGTGTCTCAAATTGTTGGATTCCGTTCACTGTGGTTTGATTGATGCCCACGTGATGCCCACAGGCTGTACACAGATACCAGGTTGTGGGAAGCCTGCGTTAAAACCACTCTGGATCTAGTTCCCTCACTTTGTCTGCCTTCTTGGATTCTCTTTGTACATCATCCTGCCTGTATATACATGTATCTTTTCTGTAATGGGTGTAGATTATAGTGTCCAGAGAGTGTGATTGAACATTTCCACACTTGTCGTGCAATTGTCTTGTTTTGGGTTACATGCTTACCATGTGGGCCAGACTGTCAGATGATTGACTTACCCACGTCATTTTTCATATTTGATTTAGTGTGTATTGTCTGTAGCTATAATTATGCTGCTTCTTCAAATTATGATTTCTACATCAATAGTTTTAGTTACATTTAAAGAACAACCATTATGTGTTAACTGGCTGTCAATAAATTCAGAAACATGCTTAAAAATGTTATTACATAGTTTGGAATGAACCTGAAATGAATATTGATTATCTTTAAAAGAGAGAGAGAGAGAGAGATAGAGAGAGAGAGAGAGAGAGAGAGAGAAATGAGATGAGATGATTCCCACAATAATAGGGTGCACACTGCAAATTATAGTCACCAATACAGAGTTAAGGCACATAGTCAAGAAATGTTGTTTCCGGTAACAAAGTAAATTTTTGTCATAACTTATGAATGATTTATCTGCATATTTTGGACTTTATATATGGTATTTCTTTCATCATGAACTATTAATGTGCTTTTCGATACTTATCATACCAATTGTCATGTTAACAATTGAGTATCACTGACATGTAACATTAACACTTTTTTGTGTCTTTAGCAATAAGATTTCATGAAAATAAGAATAGTTTTTTACACTGTGATTTAACTACACTTTCCATTTTCTCCCTTCAGGTATGGTGAACACTGACCGTAAGCAGTTTACAGCAGAGGAATTAAAGAGGGCTCTTAAAGAGTTCAAGGCCACACAAGATGATGTTAGGGATGACAAGGTATATGACTGTAATCAACAATAAAAAAAGTCTACATAAACCTGATGGAAAATGTGGAATAGAATTTGTTGTGGACTTTGCTCTTAGCTTATCAGTGCAAAAATTACTTTTTAGATGTTTTTATGTTCAACTTTGAAAGTATTACGGCAAATATTTTTTATTTTTTACTGTTTTTTTGTTTAAGACTTAATTATTTGTCACTACTTTTCAGATTAAACAAGAGAGTTTGAAAAAGAAGTTTAAGAGTTATGAAGAACTCAAAGAAGATATGGCAAAATTTAATATGAATGTGAAAACAGACCAAGAAATTATCACAGAATTGTTTGAGGAACTTAAAGAGAAAAAACTAGACAATGAAAGACAGATGACTATTTTGACCGACTTGGAATATTATGTTCACCAGGTAAAGTGTAATAAATATTATATGAGTGGCAACATTTACTGAACAGCATTATTTTCATAATTTTCTTGCATATATTTTAAAATTAAAGAGACGTAATGGTTTATTTTCATGTTAATCTAAAGTTAATCAAGTAAGTGCTTGTCATTTTGCTAAAGACATTCTATCATTTTCAATAAACATTAAATGGGCTTGGAGCTCTGGTGCTGGATATCTAATGTCTAATGATATCACTAACAATTGTTGAAAGCATTTAAGGACTTTTGATTGACCTTTGATCTTGTGATTGACAGATGTCATGACACCTGCCACATCTCTCAGTAGCATAGGGATGGGATCTGAAACAATAGTAAAGGATCCTCATTAATTCTACACAGGATTTGCAAAATTACTGGGTTCAGAGACTGCATTAAGTATTACTTGCCTGTAAGAGACCACCTGATTTTATACCTTGTAAAAGGAAAGAATCATAGGTGAATTGCAGGTAAAATAAAAAACTTGAATGGAAATGTTTTTTTTTATACACCCTGACACAAATTGACCATCTGGAGATCAGAATCATTCTGATGGCAATGGCAATGGCTATGCGGATTTTCAGTGTTGAAATCCAGTACAGATTGGCAGATGATACACAGGATACAGGCAGCGTTCATCACGTGGAGTCATACTGCATAACACCCTCCACTTGCCTGTTGTTGTGTACACCTACATTCCACAGGTGGTATATGATATGCAGGTAAAGTGAGAAAACGATCCCCTGCCCCACACAGCCCAAGCCAGGGACTCCTTGGTACCTGTGCCAGGAGTTTTAGACCAGTAATTAGCACTAGTGTTATAATATCAAATTCAATCTCTCCTCTTCAACTGGACATGGTGACTAACATCTGAGAGCCTTTCATTGGTAGCTGTTTATCTAATGGGTCTCAGAGCAACTAAGATGGCCTTCAAGGTTATGTTAAGTAATATCTTGACTTGGAGAGCCATCTGGTATATTTCAAATGAAGAAGATACAAAAGGCAATGTAAGGTCATGGCCTATATACTACACCATTATAACAATAAAGTAGTGTCTGAGATAATTAATGCCATATTTTATTATCAAACTCTTTAGTTGGACATATTTATGGAATGTTCCTGAAAAATGATATTGGAATCATGTAGTAAAGTTTTCATAAGGTAAAATGTTAAAATTTATTTTTGTTTCATTTTTTTTTATTTTATTCAATTATTATCAACTTTTGTGTTAGAGAGTCTATCACTTGATAAATTATATTGCCACATATTTCTTGAACCTGAGGTCTATGAAAATTCATATGGATTGTACCATGCTACCCCTGAAAAAAGTTGAAAATCACATAGTCAGTGGTCTGATTGGAAGTTTTTTGAATCAATGAGTTAGAAGCCATGCCAAACTGCACGTTGCCTGCTATATTCGGCTGCTCAATTTCCCCCCTCCCTTTGTATGGTATTGATACAGATAGACCCATGCTGGCAAAATATGATAAATGATAAAAGTGTTTACAGTATCAAAGGCATGGGTTTGACTTATGGCACCACAGTTGATGGTTAAATGCCCATTTAATAGAATAGAGTATAAAGTGAAATTATGTGTTGTTGTCAGATTAATCACGATGGTACCAGCAGAGCCTGTAAACTACAGTGACATAACAATTGTATTTGTTGACACTCTGTGGTAGGGGGACCCTAGAACTTGATCCCCAGACTTAAATGTACACTGTCAGTTTCAGATTGAGTGACTTGGTATGGTTTAAGGACATGATGATATAAATTATAATACAAAAATTTACTTCCATTATTACATTAAATGTGGTATTGTTATCTGTCTAGACTGTCAAGGGAAAGATGTGCATGTCTCCAAAAGGGCCAGCACCTAAGGGTTTTGTTTGCTTAGGCAGAGGTCAGGGGAGGCTTTCACATGACACTCACCAGTTGATACTTTGTAGCTGGTGCTCAGATTGTGTGGAGTTAGCTACAGTTATAAAATCAGGACGAACAATTTCCCTAATAGTTGTGCCAAAATTTGATCGCAAGATTCATTCACATTCCAATGTTCAAATGGTGATATATGAGCACATGGCATGTTTGGTAGGAAAGGTGCGTCAGTGAGTAGTCGACATTTGATGAAGGAGAAAATACGGGTACCACCAACCAAGAGTCTTGTCTGGAGTAACAGATCAGTGTCTAATGCTGTGAACAAATGATGGGGGTGACAGTGCCCAATGTCACCTCCAGCAGATCCTGTTCTGATAATGGCTGACCCACTGCACAGGGGGAAGTGTCTGTAGTATTTGGGGAGGGGGTGGATAGAGACGCCTGCTTGTGTGTGATGGTGAGAAGGTATGGCATCTGCTTCACCCCTATGCCATCATTAGCAACTGGGCTATGGCCAGTGCCACATTCATTATACCCTCTGTGACATTTTCCTGTTTAGTGAAGGGAAAAATTGCAACCATTGTTGGGGAGTAGAGTTACCTTTCATGGTCACCAACAGAAAAACACACATTAGATGTTTTGAATGAACAAATTACAGGGACAATTTAGAGAAATTGGAGAAAATCATTGGGAACAAAAGAGAAGCATGCCAAACTACTGTTTTGTGGTAAAATCACCAGATTTTCAATATGAAACTTGTCATTTTTTACCTCTCTTTCTTGACCTGTGCATACTTGGAATGGGCCCATTACACAGTCTAATAGGAATATCTGCCAGGACTGGGACTGCATTGCTTCCGACAGCTTATTAATGGCGTGAAATAGAATCCCTTTTATAAGTTAAAAAAGGAAAAGACTGCCATTGTTGAGGTGTTCCATCTGGTGCCAGAGAGCTTGTTGATAATGCAATTAGATGAATCTTTGTCTGCTGCGGAAAAAATTAAATAGTTCACTTTTTGTTATTCTTTTTTTTTTGTATAAAACTTCATATTTTTAGCTACTGTCTTGAAAATGGGTTTCTCCGTTCATAGCAGGGTTAACCAGATACAAATGCCTTTATTTCAGCGATCAAAGAAATATTTTCTTTCTGTTTATATCTTGTCACCAACAATTTGGAAAAACCACATCATTTTCCCCACTTCTCCCATACTCATCATGTCGTGAATTGATGTAATTTTTATGTCAATTTTACAGAGACTATCATTATTTTCTTATCTCTTGTCTTATACATCTTTAAATTGTATAAACTCTCATTTTAGAGAGCTTATTTTCACAATTGGAATGTACATATTTAGGAAGGCTTCTAATTAGCACCAAAAGCGAGAAAACTTCAAAGGAAAAAAAAAGAAAACGGCAAGAAGAAAGAAAATTACCATGTCCATTTATCTCAGCCTGTAAATATAGTGTCTTCAACCTTTTGCCCTCTGTTTTTTTATTGGAACAAGGTATACCTTTCCACCTTCACCCAGAGCCCCTTTGGGTATTGTTACTTTGGCTTTGTGATTTTATCTTTATGAGTAATCTGGTTAGGACAGGGCAGTTATTCCACAAAACATCTTAAAACTTGACTGGGGTTATTAATACCTTTAAAGCCATGTCTATAGTCGCAAATAAAAAAGAATGAAAAAAGAAGATTATCCCGAAGGTAGACTTGATGTAGTACAGCATACCACCCAGTATGAAGGTGTTCTTTTTCTTTTCGAACCAAGCAGCTGAACAAAGTTATTGTACCAATCGTCTCATCTGACCATTGAATTACTCCAGTACAGGGTCTCCCAGGACCACCCCATTGAGATGATAAATAAAATACATTGAGATCCATTTAATGAAGTGGACAGTTTGTCATTTACGGATCAATTATGAAAATTTAGAGGCAGGGATTATTACTGGAGATTACAGGGCTGTATTGTAGCAGTTGCAAGGAGGGCCCATGCAATACTTACACTCGCAGTAGGAAGCTTTTATGTCAGGCGAAATCCTTTTTACCCTGACAACTCCCTCTCCTTTCATGCTGCTTACTTGTCTGAAAGGAGAGGCAGCTTTGATGTTTGTAAAGCCATAATTGTCATCTAGTATCTGACTGGGAGTCCCTTGATGGCTCAATCTGTTAAACATGGGCTTTGATAACTTAATTAGAATTGATTTAAAATGGAATATTGTTTAGCCAGTGGTCAAGCACAAGCTAATGCTGTGTCTTGTGTGAAGTGTGTGTGAACTCATAGACAGTAATGTGGTGTCATCGTATGGACTCTATGTACTGTGTAATTTAGACTATATCATTAACAGGTATGAAGAGAATCATGATGTGAATAAGCATTAAAATCTACTGAGTAAGGTGTATTGTGTCCTCCCCCTTTGAAGTCTATTCAAATGACACCTCTTTATTAGGATGACTCCTGTTCATTGAGTACTGTGAAAGAAGTGCTATATTTTTGAGTTCATAAGAATAGTTTGTCTTTTTGATTTTACACTTCTGTGTACTACTGTGAACAGATTTTCCCTTGATTTCATATTCCATGTTTAAGTTTATAAGCTGCAGGTCAAGGTGCTTTCCCTTGATTTCATATTCCATGTTTAAGTTTATAAGCTAGTCCTTTTTTCTCATTTTTAGATTATCCATAGCTAAATCTCTAAATCTCTTATTGTGAAGCAGCTAATAGCACATTGTGGCAATACTAGATGTTTAAACATTTTAAAAAGAAAATAAAAAGAGTAGTTTTTACATAAGCTATTTTATTGAAAACCAGTCTTGCATGTGGTGATGTGTGTCACAAGTGAATCATGTCTTCAAGCTTTTTGATCAGTGACCAAGATAATGACAGTTCACTTTTAAATACATAACTGTGAGATTGGGGAAGGAGAGAGGTCCGTAAGGGATGAAAATGCTCATTTCTGTAGGCAGGTTATTAGAAGCATAACGTGGGACATAGACTCTGCTCATTATCAAGCCATCATGTCACAGCTGCAGTGAAAATTTGATGTAATTTTGTGCCCATTAACCTTAATCAAGATGTTTATAGGGTTAATTTAATGAGAAAAAATGTTAAGATTGTGGGAAGCCGTTTTTTTCTTCAGGTAATTTTAAGTCAAGCACCTTGACCTGCAGCAAAGAAAAGTAAGGCATGTTTACTGGTTTCCATGCAGTGAATTGGATTCACAATAGGAAATATGAAAAAATAAGCAAAAGATGAAAAAAAGACAGGAAAATAAAACTGAAAAGATGTTTAAGAAATTCTTTTCTTTAAAGGGAATAGAAAAAATTCTTATCTTGTGTATAGGAAAGAAAGTTGTGATTGCAACATATGAAAGAGGAAATGTATTACATTGCTGGCACATTGGTTAGAATAATGAAATTCTGATTGTCTGGAAAGTTGCATAAATGTAATAGACTCCACAGATAGTTATTTTAGAGCCTGATTACAGTGTGTTGAAAGGTCTGGCTTGGTTCATGAAGAGGTGCATTTTCACCAGTGAATTCAAGAAATGAGTTGTTGAAAGCTTGGTGTCTCTGCACTACCTTAGTTTACAGAAATGAGTAGAAATTTGGTTCAGGTTTTAACAGCTAAATGTGCTAAATGTGCTGAGAAATTTGTTGCTTGTATGGCCATAGTCAGCACTCTGAAAAGTACGGGAATTTGAAATTTCTTAATGAATTCAGGACAGATTAATAGGCATTGTCTGCTTCCTAGATAAGGTACTTATAATTGTATTTATTGATATAGTATGGTAAAATTTCTGGTCAAATATTCACCCAAATGACATCCATTCAGATGGGGCTAATTTTTATAAGCATAATGCTCCAGGCAAGGTGCCCTGTTACCTAACCATTCAGAAGCCTACATATTTTCTTTGATATTCTTAGATTTTAAATTGATATTATATATGTAGTTGTATAGTAAAAAAAAAGGTGGTGCAGAATTAGGGACAGAATATGTTCACACTGATCAGAGATCATTAACTTCTCTAGTGCTAGCCAAATGAAGCAACTTCATCTAATAAGCTAGGATGTGAAGTTACAGGGTTTGCAAATTGAAACAAATTGACTGGATTTCCTTCACCATTGATTGTTGCATGTGTGTGTAATGAGATATTACCAGCAGGAAACATACTATATTTGATACCAGAGCAATTCTGTTCTTTTATATTATAAAAGTATCTGCTTTATTGTACATACTGATCAAATGCAATTGTTACTAGCTATACACTGTAAACTTAAACTGCAAGACAGGTATTGAATCAATGGTTTAATTTTATGTATAATTTATTTTTGCTTGAACAGTGTAGGGCAGCAGGTCTTTGGTACTTCAGTAATACTGTACATGAACAGTGAAAAAGAACACGCCATGCTCTGAAGACATGAATTAATTTTTTGAAAGTATTGAGGTAAATGTCAAGTTCGCATTAGATCTTCACCAGTTACTTTTGGTGGTGGCTTGAATACAATATTAGTTAAATATCAATGAAGGATGTATTTTCTGTCACTAGTTTAAATTGTGTATTGGCTGTGGATTATGAACAGTTACCCTACTTAGCTTGGGCAGAAGCATGAAAATGTGTAGGTGTGTTATATGAACGCAGATAATAACCCTTGTTAAAGTACAGATAAAAGCCTTGGGACAGGTTGAATTTTGAAAATTCATATTTAAGGAGAAGCCTGGGGTGTCTCTGCCCTACAAGTGCCTCCTGAATTTTTTTTGTTGAATAAGAATACATCGCTTCCTTTGCCTTGGCTTGTCTGATGATGTTAAAAAAAATGCTTGGTGCTATCTTTTCAAATGCTGATAACTTCAATAGCTTATCATACCACAAATCTGAACCACAGTAATCACAAAGCTTGGCCTCATCGTACCACAAAATATTATGTGGGATACTACAGACACGATGTGAACTAACAATAGAAATAACAGAAACTGGATATTAATCATATCTGTGTAGTTTCCTCCAACCTATAATTTCTCATTCTTGTCAGCTTTTTGTGTTCTCCATGTTTTTCGAGAACTGCTGCCTAATTTATATAATGTACATTTTTGTGTACTGTTAGATGTTAAACCAACCAGCACTTGCCTACAGCCCTTCTATAATACTAGCTTTTCTAAAGCTAAATTGTTGAATCATGTCTGTGACTCTTATAGAAAGTACTTAGGAGTTGTCTTTTTTCCCTTAATTAGTCTACATATTTACATACAGTTGGATACATCTAAAGAATATTAAAGTGACTTCTATTGGAAGTATTCACCCTTTATTACCCTGCATATATATCTGTTATAGTGGACTACAATACTTTCTGTATTACCCCAACTTTTAAACTGCTTTCAGATGCAAGCAGTCTGAATTCAGACCCTTCCTAATTGAATATTATCAGATGTAGCAATAATCAGCCATTATTACAGTTTCACCTTGAAGTGTCATTGATGCCGCTTATCAGACTTAAAACTATGTGTTACAAATTGTTAGCACCAGTGCAACAATGATCCAGTCATGATAGTGACAGTATTTAATGACATTAGATAGTATCTGGTACTTGCTTACAATAGGGAAAAAGTACATGCTGATCCTATGTGGGTTATATATGATATGTGATAGGTTTTTGTGACAAAATCTTTCAGTGAAAGAGAGGGTTGTAAATGTAATTACAATACATCTATTCTACATGGTGTTCTTGGGTGATTTTATTTTTCTGTCCACTATTTTATGGAAGACAAGCAGACATTTCTCTGATAGCCCATTTTTCTTTTTGATCTTGTTTGTTATCTCTTCACTCTTATCTTTACATCTCATATCTACCTTACTACATGTAGGTTTTTTTTTCATTATTTGACATTCATGATGTGAAAAAAGTCTGGAATTTTATGTTGGTGCCAATTTTATTGATATCAAATGTTGTTTGTATGAACTAGAAACCTTGAGAGTTCAATTTTAATTGTGTGAACAGGGCACTACACATTCTTGCATGCATGGTTTTATCATCAATGGGATATAAACAATTAATACCTTTTAAGGAATTTTTTCGTTTTAATTCACAGTATGAAAGGTATCACAAGGCTCGCAGTGGCAGATACTATAGAAAACACAGCCTTTTAAAAGAAATTATAGCAAACAATGTTTAATTCTACATGTTTGTGATAAACCCTTTATACAGATGGCAAAATTGTAAAATAAAGATAAGAAGGGATATTTAAGATATAAAATAGGACACTGGCAATACATGTTAAAAGCACCACGAAGAGTGATATCTTAGTGATGCTGTCTGTTCACAGGTGGCAGCACCTATCAGAGGCATGCTGTTCAATGAGCATTTCAGATTGATCTCATAAAGTTTTTAAAAATTCTATTTCAGATGGACAATGCCCAGCATTTTGCAGGAATTGGTGGATTAGATGTATGTGTTAAGTTGCTAAATCACTCCAACATTGATATCCGGGGAGAGGCTGCGTTGGTTCTAGGCTCTGCTATGCAGGGGTAAGTGCACCTTCCAGTTTTTTCCCTACCTGAATAAGGGTCCTTGAAAAAAAAATAATAAAAAATCAAGATTGAAAAGTTATGTTAGTTGAGGAAAAAAAAAAGTTTCCTTGCAGTGGCATCTTAAGTAATAGAAAACCAATTCGGGGATGGTGGCACTGGTGCATTTTTTATTGCCTTCCTGACATTCCAGCCTCTGCCTCACTAGGCATACACAAACGGCAGCCACTAAATACTGCATTTAAAGTTGAAACACAAAGTGGTGATGGGATACTTAGCATTCCTTGTTGTGGGGAGAGAATAGACACTTCATCATGTTTATGACCAGGCTGACTAGCAATTTATTTCTTATCAGAGTTAGAAAAGTAAGGGGGATCTTGTGACTGCAGCTAGATCTGTTTGTCTACTTGTGTTTTTGAACCTGATTGAAGGAAAAAAAATCTCGTCAGTAATACTGGTTATTAGTTTTTTTTCTTGATTATGAGAAAATGTTGCATATACAACAAATGGGTAGATATTTTAATGTTTGGGTGGACAGTCAAAAGGGCAACTTCTGAGTTTTATAAGTCATACTAAAACTTAATATTTATACAAAGTACAGTTTATGCAAAAATAAAAGGTTGTCATAGAAATGTATGTTATATATTTTTCCTTTTTAGTAATCCAAAAGTGCAAATAGCTGCTATGGAGGTTGGTGCAGTGCCGCGTCTGATCCGTGTGTTGTCTACAGAATCATCATCCTCAGTACAGAGGAGGCTGTTGTACGCCATGGCCACCCTTTTGCGCCAATTCCCTTATGCACAGCAGAAGTTTCTAGAGCATGGAGGGTTAAATGTACTGAAACAGCTGTTCCAACATCCAGACAACTTCAAACTTCAAGTGAAGGCAATCACATTATTAAATGACTTGCTCACAGAAAGGGTAAGGAGAGAGAGAGAGAGAGAGAGAGAGAGAGAGAGAGAGAGAGAGAGAGAGAGAAAATGCTGTTTCGGTTCTCTGTGTTGATGTTAACTTGAGGGTTGACTGGTATTAAGATTCATAGTTTTGGCCTGTTAGGAAAATGCAAACAAAGAAAGATGGGGGTAAATTTGGACATTGCATAATTATATTATATATCTTTTTGTCTGTTATATGTAAATTTGTTTGATTTGCATCCCTTTCTCATTAAACTGAAAATCACAATCAGGTGCTTCAGTATCAGTGTGCTCAACTAACACAATGTGCTCAACTAACACAATTTGCTCTATTGATGGTTGTAGTTTTGTTTTTTTTGTTGCAGAATCTGGCAGAGAGGCATTTAGACAAAAAGAATGTCCATCACCAGGAAAAAATACAGCAATATTTAAAGTAAGTAATGACCATTTTATAGGCCAAGTTATAACAAGTGAAAAGTGACATTTATATCCACTTTCAAAAGTTGGGCAACAAACGAAATTGTTGTCTTCAGGTGTTCTTTATTATAGATGATGTAAAGGCAATGAAGAAAATTCAGTGAATAGCATTTAATTGGCAAGGAATAATAAAAATATTTGTATTTTAGGGCGTATACCAAGCCCATAGTATAACATTATGGCACTTCAAAACAAATTTACTATTAAATTAAAGGGACAGCAGTTGATAGCTTCTTCATTCATTTTAATGCCAGAAACTTTAAATTAACTATGAAGTAATAATTATATAGAAATGAATTTTTTCAATAAGATATTTGAATGTTTTTCCATCCTAGTGCTCCCCTGCTCCAAAGCCTGCTGGACCAGGGCTGGTGTGAGTTGATCCCCAGGCTGCTGGACACACCTGACCACGACACCAGGGAGAAAATACTGAATGCAATGCACACCTTGCAGTCCTCTTGTATGGGCAGTTTTAAAATGGCTAGAAAAACTTTGGACCAGTTAAAGACTGAATATGATGCTTTATCTCTACAAGAGAGACAAGATGAAGAAGAGGATTTGTATTTTAGTAAAATGTCTAAAACGATTAACCAGTTGATCTCACAGATGTCAAGTGGCCAAAAAGATGAATTGTGATTTGTTGACCCTCGGCTGCCACTGCCCTCTAGAGGCTGAGTGATGATGAAAAATGCTTTAATGTGATGAAGTTTATTTTTTGTTAATATTTATAATAAATATACTTTTATGTGGATAATATCCTGCTTGATAGCAATTCTAATTCATTTCAACTTTGTTGCCACTATTTACATCATAATTTTATCATAATTATAAATCTACTTTAGCAAAAGAGAAAGAACATATTTTAGTAGGCAGGACAGCACAATTTTGTCCATATTATAATTCCTGAGAATTATTTATAATTTACTTTAAAAATCCTATAAAAATTTCAGTTTGTTTTATTAATATTGAGGTGTTTAAACTTCATACATCCCTTACTTGTCAGAAGTAAGGTGGATCACTGAACAAAAAAGGCAAACAAGCAAAGCAAAGTCATAGTATAAATAAATATTTATTTTTACAGTGCATGAACATTGTTTTTTTAATAAATAATGCTAACATCAAAATAATGGTGTATTTGATTTATAATTGATTTATAATTTAAAAACCACTGCATCTCCAGTTTGACCTACCAATAATAGCATAGGACAGTGCAGACATTAAAAAATTTACAAGACTTAAAGATCGGGCACATTCCAAGTGCCACTGAAAGCTATACCAATGAGACTTCAGAGAATGTTATTTTGTATAAAAAATGTCTGTCTTAAATAAAATAAGCTTGTGCATGCACATTCATGCAGTTTAGCTTGTGACATGACACTTGTGAAGACAGCTAAATCAGATGTGATCTAATTCGTTCTTTAAGCATTCTAAAGCAAGTTTTTTGATATAACTTAATTTTGCAAAAGAGTTGTAAGCTTTTGTGTAAAAAAATACTACATGGTTACAAACTTTTTTAGAAGCAAAAAAAGACAAACACCCTTCAGGGATGCTAGTCTTCCGGTTTTTACCGGAATTCCGGTTTTTTGCGTCCAGTTATAAAATTTTCTGGTACTATATTTTGTTCCGGAATTCTCGTTTTTAACGTGGTCGCGGACTGGACGAACGATGCGTCAGAGGAACGTCGCATTTCAACCATTGCGACAGAGCTGCGTTTCAACACAATATCTAGTCACAACCGTAGCACGTGATTTATTTATGGCGCTTGATTGGTTGGAAATGTAGGCTTTAATGTCGGCACCCATGTGGAAAGTTTTGACACCGCGTGCGCGGAATTTTGAACTAAACCAAACTAAATGGATTTCGCGGAGAGGGGAACAGACGATATTAGAAACATCGACATTACTGTCAAAAATAGATTTAGTTGGAGTTGGCTGGAGGAAAAGGACAATAATGACGATTTTTTTTCTACCTATGTTCGGAAGCGAAAGTCCCCCGGAGAAGCTTGGTGTGTATGGTGCAACGACGTGATCCGGTACGGAAGCAGTGGTAAAAAAGCTCTGAAAAACCATGCTAAAACAACTAAGCATGCCAAAGCACGTAGTTGTCTTTACACATTTTTGTTGCTTGGGCATTACCACGAAAGCCATTACCAATCTTTGAAAATGATAAATGAAAGGGATTAACATTTAGTGACTATCATTATCATGCTGGTGATTATCAAGCTTACGTGAGGGATCATTACTGTCTACTATGGGTGGTAGGTGTTTATGTACTGATGGCACTTCCATCTTGTCAATGTCAAGATTATCCTTGGAAACAACTGTTGAAAATTACCATGAAGTTGTGATGACATATATTGCAATATATTTATTAAATAAAATTTGAAATATAGTAATTGTTTCATAATCAATTTGTACCCCCCCCCGGTCTTTGCCAAAAAAAAGTTCAGGTTTTCTTTCCGGACCCCACTAGCATCCCTGACCCTTACAAATGCCAAACTTGAAGTCATGATGGTAGAGAGCATGTGTAGTAGTAGTACAAATTTACCAGGTCCTTCAGTTCCAGCTTTTGATAAGAATGGCAAGGATTTTAAAGTAAGAACAAGCACAGTGAAGGTAAAAATGAGAATCCTGACAAAAACTGAGATGGGCTTCTCGGAGCACTTACCATATTTTCAGGCATTTGAATATGCAGATAAAGTGGATGCAGGTCCAAAATGGGAAAAGTACATCCAGAGACTGGAAATGTTATTAAATGTTACAGACATGGCAATTGACGATAGCTGTTGGAAACGGGCACTGTTACTTCACTGTGCAGGAGAAAGAGCGTTCTATGTGGCAGAAAAGGGAGACACAGAACTTACCTAGGATGCCACCAAACAGGTACTGTCTATTTTTCACCGAGAAAATACGTGCAAATGGAAGTATATAAGTTTAGCATGTGCAAACAGTCAGAGAATCAGGCGCTAGATGTAACTGTATTATGCCAACTGTCAAAAGACTGTGAATTTACCAACTTAGACAAAGAAATATGAAGTCAAGTCATACAAAACTAAAAATCAAACCGACTAAGAAGAAGAGCACTAAGAAAAAAGGACATGACACCACGAAATTTATTTACCCTTGGTTGTGCAATGGAAATGGCAGAACCACAAGCTAGTGTTATGACATTTATTATGTTTCTTAGTTACATGTTACAATAGTTAGAATTTATGCAAGTATCTTTAATTTAATATAATTTAATTTAATATAATTTTGTGTTAATGACAGTCTAAGGAAAAGAGGTATCCCAGAATCCAATGTCATGGGTCAGAGGTCAGTTCTGGTGGAAGTCAGAAACCTATCTTAGAGAAGTATGGTATGTTATGCAAAGTGTTTTATACCACCAATAACAAAGTCAACATAAAGAACAGGGCAAAGGTTTCAATGCCCAGATGGGATTGTGCCTTAGGGACCGTTCACATGGAAAGTCTATTTTCTAAAAATCTATTTTCTATTCGCGGTATCTTGTGATCACGGAAGAAACTGGCTTGCGCTGCCAGTAATTACGCCGCGGGATATTCAGGTCACAGACCATGATCACAAGATACCACGAATAGAAAATAGATTTTTAGAAAATAGACTTTCCATGTGAACGGTCCCTTATTTTCAAGGCTTTACATTGCATGCCAGTAGAGATGGTAATCTTCATACAATTATGAAAACCAGCCAGCATTGCCACTTAACTTTTGATTGTTGATTAATGGTACAATTATACAGGGACAAATCTCTATGGCTGGAATTAGGTCAAGTTATTCTGCTTTAGCATAATTTTCCAAACACTTTTGAAATGAAGGTCGTGTTTGATTACATTCCCTACACATGTGTCATGCTTCGTTTCTTGACTCGTTCGCCAGCGGCCACAGGGAAAGGAGAGTCCCGAGACAGAAGTGAAGATGAACCCTGGATGCAAAAAATAAAAAAAAAAAAGTAAGGGGGACTGTGAATAAAGTAGACAGCGGTCCTTTAAGGCTGCCTGGGAGAAGGAATATCCCTGGGTCTTGTTTGACGGGGGTCAGCGTATGGAGCCCTCAGCGTGGCCAAGCTGCTGGACAGGGGGTCTTTAGGAAATATTCCAAGGGCCCTTTCGTCATGGGATGTACAAACTTCAAAAGGACTACCTTGAAGGACCATCAGCTCAGTGAGAGCCATATGGTTGCAGAAACTCGCGTTCAAAACTGTGCCAAGCCAGCACAAAGTGAAGCCTTTCTGTCCATCAAAAAGTTAAACAAGGCTGCCTATGACAAATTAGAGGTGCTCTTCCACATTGCTCGTGCTCTGGCTAAGCACAACAGGCCCATGACAGACTTCGTATGGCTGTCGCAGCTTGATGAGATGAAGCTCCTTTCCCCTGAGATCAAGGATTTCAACCCAGACAAGTTAATACAATGGTGGAATTCCAACAGTCAATGAGCCCACTGACCAACTTTCAAGGCATATACGCAGAAGCTTTTGGAGGATGCTAACATAGGGTTCATCTACCTCATTACAGGAAGATGACAGGGGAGATGCTGATGATGAGTCAACAGCTGCAAGTGGTGCTATACAGTACCAATCAGCAAGATTGGAACTGCATAACACATCTGATGAAGACATCAGTGACTTTGACTCTCTGTTTGACAGTGATGGCAGCGATAGTGAGCATTTCAGTGATATAGAAATTGAGTAAAATAAAACAAATGAGCAAATATAAACTAGGCTCTACATATGTTGATATGGGTATTAATAGGTTTTCATAAAGTTCACTTAGGATAATTAGCAAGCATTGTTTCTTGTCACACATGAAAATAAATATATAGCAATATGCACTGATAAAGAATATCTTTTTTTTATTCTTTTTACGATGAATTTTGGTTGCATTTCAACCAAGAAAACTGCATTATTAATATAGCCCAGATTACCCATTTTTTGTGTAAAAAAAAAAGTTAACTGCAAGAAAAATGTATAGACCCTCCTCATGCAACACATCACACTTATAGAAAGTGAATACATCTACTAGGAGGTAAAAGTTTGTTTACTGTGTCAGAAATGTGTCAGAAATGCAAAAAGAGCACGAAACTAAGGAAAATGAAGCTAAAAATGTGCATGAGGCATGTCAAAGGGACTTTACAAATCCATGAAGATGGAAACATTCATCTGATAAGCAGTGATGGCCATCAGAATGTGCTCCACTAGCTTAGAAATTAAGGTTGGATGAGAAAAGATTCTCTTTCCTGTCAGACTGCTTTCTTTGTGGCAAATATGTTGAACAGCAAAAGGCCAAACAATTTCCAAGCAGCCCTGAATATGAATATAGTTGTGTCATGTTTCTTCATGTTAAAAAGACTATCAATAAGAGGTGTGCAGAATGGCAAGAAAACCATGAAGATGAATGGGCAGACATTGTTTCACGGAGAATCGCTTGCATCAACGATCTGCCTGCTGAAGAGGCAATCTACCACCGCAAATGCTACCAGTATTATTATCACCCCGGTGCAGTACATATATGTAACCTATGCTAAAGGTCACAATGAGGTCACACAAGCGCATGACGTAGTGTAAGGAGTACTGGAATAAATTGTGGAAGCGGACAGTTCGGTGTTGCATTTTCCTTAGGCTTTGAGCCTGTATTTAATAACACATCCTCTCAAAGCTACACCAGGAACCTAAGAATAGAAGCATTATCAACAACTCAAAAACGAGGACTACCTGCTGGCATCACGGATGATATTAAAAAGTTTTCTTGCACGTTATTGAGTATTTAGAGAACAATGATGATGAAACTGTTACACTGGATGAACTTTTCAAAATAATGCAAATTGAATCTGGTAGTAAAAGCATTTACTGTAAAAAATCTTCTTAACAACAACTTTATTCACATAACAGGGACATAGTTTCCATAACATCAACAAAACAAAAACCCCTAATTGTCACCTTAATACCAATGTAAACAAATAATCCAAGATGCACATGTAAAATTTACAAATGAAAATGATGATATGGATGGACTAATTAAAGTTGTTGGGCACAACATAAGAAGTGAAATCAAAAGTGCCAAGAAACATGAAAATGTATACCCAAGCACATCAGACATGGAATCCATGGAACACAATCTGGCTATTCTGCTGAATTCATTGTGACTTTTGCTAAAAAACATAATTAAAAGCAAAAATGCGAACCTTCTTTGTGCTTCTATTGGACAGGCAATAATGCACGCCACAGGGCCTTTCTCTCTCCCCTTCAAGTAGGACTCTCCGTTACACCAGAAAAATATGGCCAAGGTGACTTAGTTGATCTCTTGAATAGCTTTGGGTTTTGGTCATCTTATAAGGAAGCAAATATGTATAAACAAAATGCCTCTATGACATAGGGCACAGAAATCCAAGATCTCACGCCCGATTTAGGCAATAATGTCCGCATGCCTTTCTCTCTCCCCTTCAAGTAGGACTCTCCTTTACACTAGATCAAATATGTGGCCATCATGACTTAATTGCCCCTGGAAACAATCCACCAGAAGTTTCTCTGATGGATGATGCGAGCAGTGCGGAGCAGTTAAAGGAAGGAGCAAACCACTCAGGGTCAGCTAACGTTTATGATGTTATTAGTTATGAAATGTGGGACCAGAGGTCTAGGACGCGCTTGTAAACCTGGTGTCAGATATCATGTTTGAGAAGATGCCTGATGATAAATTGCAGGTCTTATGAAACAAACATGATTGCCTGGCAAATGCTGATGATTTTACGGCCCCCTACGGTGGCAGGTTCATGATTCAGTGTGATTTCTGTGATGAATGGTATCATGGGTCCTGTGTTAATATCACAGTGACTGATGCCTTCGATATTGATAAGTATAAATGTCCTCATTGCAAGAAAGCTGAACAACATATAACTTAAAATCTGTGTGTTCATTTATCATTTCAGGTGGCCAAGCAGCAAAAACCCAAGTCCAAAAATACATAGTACATTTCGTGGATGAGCTGGCCACATAGATAAAATACCATGTGTTTCCAGTCATCCAGCCCGGGGAATTTGTCCGTGATCTGGTAGAAGCTCTGCCTGGGGATACTGACAAGATCCAACAGTCAGTATTAGACGTTGTGGACTTATGTAAAATACAAATGGCCAAAGATAAGAAGAAGGGTGGGTACTACTCGTGGCTGTGCAACTTAGCGTCTGAAGTACTCTCCAAGGGGATTTCCGATAAAAATTGGGTGGAAAAAAATATCTCTAAACTCCCACCTAATCCTAAGACTGGGAAATCCAAGAAGCCAGTGCGACCCAAACCTACTGGGGAGCCAAGTGTTTTCTCAGGACCAGTCAGGGATATAAGGTTGGGAACTGACCCCCAATATTACCCAAACCTCTTTTGTGGTGTCTGGGGGAGGGGGGAATTCCACACCAATTCCTACAACATCATCAGCAGAGGCCATGAAGGTGGACATCCTGGAGGGGGAGGTCTATTCTGGGGAGTCTTGCAATTCTTCGGAATTGCTTGGATCCTCAGATGGATCTACTGCCAAAGGGAGCCCTAAGCCCCATGAGTCTACTTTGAAAAAGTCCCCATGCCTTGTGTTTTCCATGGAGGGTAGGAGACGGGCAGCTTTGGCGTGCATTGCCGCAAACTTACCACCCCCTCTCCTGCTTCTGTCTTTGTTAGTAAGGGGGAGAAAACCCATTTAATTGGACCAGTATCCCAAGCCGGAAAACAAGGGTCTGCCAGTATAGGGGAGAAAGCCCATTCAGTTGGGCAAGTATCCCAAACCGGAAAGCAGGATAAAAGGCCAATCCCATCACCTATGAGCCTCTACTTCCCTTCTTTTCCTATTACGGGGGAGAAAGCCCATTCAGTTGGGCAAGTATCCCAAACCGGAAAGAACCCCTTTTCTGAATCTGTAAGTAGGGGGGGGGGGAGAAATCCCAATCCGGAAAAAGCAGAATTAAGAAAAGAAAGCCCAAATCGTCAAAATCGTCTAAGTCAGGTCAGTCTGTACAGAAGCCAGCGACTGTTGCTGCATCTGGGGAATCTCGGAAACAAGAGTCTCTGATTGAGTCTGTGGGGAACCTAGCCTAGCCTAAAAGTGGCTAAGGTTGGACCAAAAATGACAAAATGTCAGGCCCCGCATGCACAAAAAATCCTTATCTTGAGTGAAAAATTCTCCTTAACTTCATAAGAAAATTCTTAGCTGAGGAAACGCCTTAAGTGGTATGCACAAAGTACCTTAAAAATTTCCTAAGCCAAGAATTTTCTCAAATAATAGGAATTTCCTCAACTCTATAGGATTTCTCTTATGTGTTGAGCTATGTTTAGCCTGTGCATTGACCAATAGAATTACCTGTTACAATAGCTCACACTGGGGAATTCCTGGGGAATTCATGTTTGAAGGGCTCCTTTACTTGGATATGAGCAAGCACACTGGTGTGTATTAAACTTATACACTGTGTTGTATGTACTTTAAACATGGCAGATAAGAAAAGAGGAGTTGTGAGGAGAAAGAGGTTCTTGTTGAGGAATTTTTGAAGCAGAAACACATACTCAGGGGACGATTCTCTAATCGAGATTCTCTAATATCTAAGATCACAGCACAAGCCAAAAAAGATGCATGGACCAAAGTAATGAATGGTGTAAACCAGCACAATCCTGATATGAAGAGAGACCTTGAAAGTGTCAAAAAGAAGTGGGACAACCTCCTTTCAAGTGCAAAAAAGGACATCATCGATTACAAAAAGGAACTGAGGAAAACCGGTGAATGAAATGTCAATGCTTTATTTGTCCACATTTGCTAATAGCCTATAGGCCTATCAGTTATTATTAAGAGTTGAGATATCAATCGTGTAGGCCAAGAAGTTTTAACTTCTTGTGTAGGCCTAGTATTCTTCATACTCTGACAGAAAAAGGCATGTCATCCAATCCCCAGACCCAACACTAATAATAATAATCCAGTGACATAATAACATTTTTAAGTGTTATCTGTGATGAAAAATTGTGGCATGTAATTCATAATATTAATATTAATTATCAATTTCACTATTGACCCCACGTATGCACATATTAAATACCTATGTTAATTGTATAAGCATTGATGCGCGAGATTCCGTGTTATCAGGTGGTTTTCGGGGATTTCATAAGCAACATGTCATAAAAAGTGCCCACTCAAAATTTTTCACTTTAGATATCCCTTAACAGAATGACAAATTACAAATGTATTTGGTTGGAGACCCATGCAAATATTTGCTTTCAATTCATTCATTTCAATTCACAAATTCGTTGATATGTCTTAGGAGAGCATTTGTAACCCTGTAAATGATTCGACAAGCAGTACTCTGATGTATTCTAATTGTATCTGCAACAACTTGCTGAAAGCTCCCACAGGCATAGAACCTTAGGGTAATGAAAATCTGTAGTAAGGCAGGAATTGTGTGGCTTCTGTTAGTGGGTGGTTCAATATCCTCTGCCAGAAGATCCGTAATGAAAAGTATCCCTGCTCTATCAAAACGAAATTGCTGGTAAATCTCATGATCTGGGTAAAAATCCAAAGGATTTTCGTGGTCCTGAAATATTCTTGGTCTTGCGACTGCCCTTTCCAGTTCATCCGATTCTTCACGATAAACAGCAATAATAAGAGCCATAGAGAAATAATGTTGCTGCACAGCTTTGACTAGCACAAATGAATGCCACTGTGTTGTACAGTCACTGAATCTAAGGACAAAATTTCCACTTAAGAGACCCAATGAGGTACCTTAAAGTTAAGGAGATATTTTGGGAAATTTTCATCTTAAGATGCTTTGTGCATACCACTTATGTTAAGGGTGATCACTTAAGGAAATTCTTGAAAAAATACACTTAAGATGTTTTGTGCATACGGGGCCAGGTCCCTGGATGTAGTAACCCCAATATTGAAAGGGGTGCAGTCAAGGTCCATGCCATAACACACATACCTGATATCTTTGACGAGGGTTTGAGTATCGTCCCTGAGATCGTGGCTCTCAGGGTGACAGCTTTGGAGTGGGCTACCTCGCTCATTTTTGGTATCAATAAACCTCTACAAAGCCTATGCGATTTTAAATCAGCATCAGGCGACAAATTCAACCTTAAAAATATCAGGGGGATTGGCGAAGCCCAACGGCAAGCGATGCAAGCCTTCTGTCAAGAGCTTGGTGTCTCTCTGCCCCCGCAAGTAACCTTAAAGTCAGCCAACTCTGTGGGTGCATTTATACATTGGCGAGCTGTGTTGAAGTTATCTTCATGAATCCAGCCCAACGGGATTTATGGCTCAACAATTTCAAGGTGCCTGCAGGTCTCCAACGGACAACAGTGGCAGATGTAGTGATGGGAGTCAAGGCTTTTGATAGCCATTTCCACTTGGACAGGACTCTCTAAGCTTATAATCTGCCGTCCAATGGGACCCTGGAGAATCTGCGGGAGAAAGTTCCTGTGCCAGAGGGCAAGGAGGTTAATCTGGTGGGCTCAGTAGCAGTGTATTGTGATCCAGAGAGGGATCCAACTCGGAGTGCCTTGTTAAACTAGAGGATCAGAGAGGCGATACCGCCTCCGAATATTGTACCACCAGCTGGAGCAAGCGCATTCGTATAGACCCCCACATACACAAAATAAGGGACACAGCCACCAGTCNAAATAAGTTGGAGAACATGCATGTAGCTATAGGCTTTCACCCGAAAAAGGCCTCCCAAACCCCTGCTTTGCGGGAGCAAAATCTCATAGCCTTCAGGACGTTGGTTCAAGATTCCCATGTCAGCGCCATCGGAGAGGTTGGTCTTGATTTTTCAGAGTCCTCCCATGTCTGGCAGGATCAGGAAGATCTGCTCAATGATCTACTGCCCTCAGAAATTGACAGCAAGGTGTTAGTGTTGCATTGCCTTGGAATGGGTAGTGGTGACTCTGTGTATGCCATCAGGCATCTGTTATCAATCCTACAAAGGAATAACATCCCAGAGCATCAGCCCATCAATTTCCACTGTTTTACAGGGAACAAGCTCATGGAGATGTGGCTGCCTGTTTATTACAACACATACTTTGGCTTCACCAGGCTGGTGAAAACTTACAACAAATCCTAGTTGGAGGCGGTCAAAGCTGTCCCAGGGTGTAAATTGCTCTTGGAATTAGATGTACCATATTTCCATGCCCAAAACATCAGGGCTTCAACACCATATTTGTTGTTTAAGACAGCAGAAATTTTAGCAGATGCTAGGGGTGTTGAGGATAGGCATATACTCGACATTACAGTCACCAACGGTATTAAAAAAAGAGTAAACTGGTCCTTTATCAAAATTATAAAGTACAGCCATTTATTTTTTACATATATTGAAAAAAAAATGCACTATTGTAATATATTGCACAGTTATTATATTTGCATTATATATTTTACATGTACATAGTTTGTACAAAATATTCATATAGTCAACAAGAAAAAGTATCTTGTATTTTATTCTTGACAAGGGAAAAATCCTCCCATACTTTATTTTTGAAAATGGTTTATTTCAGTTAACAAGCAAAGTCATCTTTGATCAGGGAAAAAATATCTTTTTGTGTCTTCTATTTCCCAAGATATGCATATATTGAGCCCCCCTCTGCATATTGGCAGCCATTTTGGATTTTGGCACTTTGCCAATGGTAGATTCCAATGGGAAATTATCTGGATTATATTGCCCCATAACATATATTGGACCAGATTCAGTTGTTAACATTTTTTTCTAACCTAAGTTATTCTTACTGGACCAAGAAATAACGAAGAGATGCCACTAAGAAATTGAAGGAAATGTTGAGCCCAATAAATGAACCATCCATTGAGAGTTTTGATCCACACAGTGATCAAACATTGCTACGAGATGGAAGAAATAGCTGAAAAGATTCAAAATATTCGCCGTAGCCACTGTTTGCGTAGAAGCAGCTACTACTCCACTGTGCAGGAATCGAGGTTCAAGAAATCTTCAATAGCTACATGTAGAAACCCCTAATGACAACCAAGAAGGAAATGCAAATGCATTTGACATTGCAGTTAATCTGCTTACCAATTACTTCAGACCAAGAAGAAACATTTTGTACAATTGGCATATTTTTTGCCTGGCCAGACAAAGCAGATCTGAAACACTCACGCAGTTTGTAACTAGATTGCACTCCGTAGCTAGAGAATGTGATTTTGAGACGAATCAAATCGACGAATAAAGGATCAAATCAATGACAATTGTCTTTCTGAGAAAGAAAACTGAGAACAAAGTAACTGACAGACACAAATTTATCATTAGCCTGCACACTAGACATAGAATTAGCCATGGAGACAAGAGAGAAACAAGCGTTGAAAATATCAGAAGTTGCAGGTGTTAATGCATTCAATGTAAAACAGAAGCGTCCTGTGAACCGTAAGAAACTGGGAAGATAAAAGCAAAGGATGAAATCGACAAAATTGTCCGTCAAAGTAGAATGCTTCAGGTATGGTTACCTTGGACATTATGGAAATTATTGCTGCAGAACTAAAAATGTCAGATGCTTCAAATGTAACAGAATGGGACATTTTGAGCCTAAGTGCCGTTCGACTACATCAAAACAACCGCAATGACAGCAGCACCAGAGAGAGCAGTGTACACTGGCAATGCCACAACAGAAAGCCAACAGGTCGGTGAAGTATGTTAATGTTGAAAATGATAATCGAGCTCCACTATGAAGGTAACGATGACTTTGTGTTCACTGTTTATACAGACAGATGCAATAGTTGCTATACAGTGCGTCTGATAATGAAAAGTCCACTACTACATATAATGTAGATATTGAAACATTTGGGGTAATAAGACTAGTATAACTTATGAATCTTTTAATATCGAGTTCTATAGTTTGGGATAGAATGGATTGAATCAAGTCTTTAGGTCCAGTTAGCCAACTAGATCATGTCGTAAGTCATAGTGAATCTGATTAATGGTGATTGACAAATCATGTTCACATTGCAAATGTGCAAGTCAAATGTTTATGGTTGGCATTCAGAACAAATTGTGTTGTGTTCAAATGGCTGACATCTGTTGCACTGCTTAACTTGTACGGACTTTATTACTGTTTTAAATTCTTTATCACACTCTTACACTTTACTTTATTTGAACAGCACACCTGAAAGTAGCCCAGTGAGGCCTAAAAAGTGCAAAAAGCCAGTGGGAAGGTCAAGAAAAAATGCAGGCCCTGGCAGACCTAGGAAATCAGCTCAAACCAAGCATGGCAGGAGCTTACGTGGTGGCCGTGGGAAAAAGGTTGGTTTGGCAAGACATCTGCAAGAATCTATATATTTGAACAGCACACCTGAGAGAAGCCCAATGAGGCTTAAAAAGTGCAAAAAGCCAGTGGGGAGGCCAAGAAAAAAAGTGTTACACTATTGTGTAGTGACCTTGACCTTTTTACAACGGATGTTGAGTTCTAATGGCACTTGTGCCTTCTCTCTCGCGCTCTGTATAACTTCTAGTATGCCTCTACAATCTGTCGTATGCATACATTGTAACATGGTGGCAGCGTAACCGGACCATGCCTTGAGTTGCCTCGACACCAACTTGACGGCGTATCTAACTTAGGGGAAGCTCTTTCAGTGAAGCTCTGTGTTGGCCGGAGCACGTGACTAACTTTACATGCTGATCAAATTCTTCTCTATTTAGTTGATCCCCACAGATCAGCTGGATCATCCCAGATGTCATGACGTCTGAATCTGAATGCGTTGTTAAATCCACATTTTACAAGTATTATACAATTTAATCCAAAACATTATTTTTATGATTTCTTAAATGCTACTCTATTTAATTTCCTATTTTGCCTAATCGTATATTGTTTAGATTAACATTTAAAAACATTTTCTTTTTTGTTCAGATAAACAGTAGAGGACCAACATCCAAAAGATTTTAATGGATTATCACTGAAATGAAATTTGTAAACATGTTAAGAAACCAAAAATACATCTTGATCTAGACCAAGGATGTTAGGTCCTATTGTATACAGGCAACATTGTTAATTTCATGACAACCATCACCATGGTATGTGTGAGGCATCAAGTCATAATAGCCACTGGTATATGGCTGAAAATTTAATATCTCATATTTTTTTTCTTAAAAAGTTAAGATTTAGGGCATTTTAACTTTCCCAATACCACAAACGGCAAAGATGGAGAGACTTGAGAGTCTAAATATCATACCTGGTCCAGCAGATATTCTTAATATTCTACTGGAAGTTGACCAAATACCATCAATGTACAGTGCGAGTAAAGAACTGTAATATACTCTGAAGTGGAAAACTGACCCAAGGACACCAAAAACGAAGAGGAGTGCAACAGAGGTCAACACCCTATGAGCAATGAAAATAGTGAAGAAAAAGGCACCATCCAGAATACGAAGTGATAAACAGAGAAAACAAAAATGGCTAGAAGTGATAGAAGCTTGCAGGAGGTAAATTTCTCACAGAAGTAGAGGCCATTGAAATCCTCAACTCAGCTGAAGAAATTTTTGAATGTAACATAGGTCAGTCAGTCATTGATGGTGTATTCTTCAACTCATTTGAGACGGTGAAGTGGACACAGAAATCGTCAGATAGGGGGAGCCAACCTGGATGGGTTCTTATTAAAGAATCAAACTGTTTAACTGTGACTCACTTGTTGACTTGCTCTTGATCAAGGTAGATGTTCAATCAATGTAGGGAATAATCCTCAGTCATGTTTGCATTACTTAAAACAACAGTGACAAGACAGTGTAGTTTGTATTCGCGCCAAGGGTATGCCGAAGAAGTGAAGGAGAATGAAGAGCAGCAGTGAATGTGGTACCTGCCGCATTTCCCTGTGTTTAACCCAGCCAAGCCAGACAAGATTAGGATTGTGTTTGACTGTGTGGCAAAGTTCAGAGGGAAGTCTCTAAATGATCATCTGTTACAGGGCCCAGACTTGACAGCATGGCTAGTTGGAGTGTTGCTGAGAATCAGGACAGGAAGAGTCGCTTTAATGGGAGACATAACAGAGATGTTTCACCAAGTAAAAGTGACAACAGAACACAGGAATGCTCTGAAATTCCTTTGGTCAGAAAACCTCAATGAAAATCCGAAGAAATATAGAATGACCGTGCATCTTCTTGGAGTGAAATTGTCACCAAGTTTGTGTTCTTTTGCTTTACAGAAAACTGCAGAAGATAACAAGAAAGAATTTGGTGATGAAGTGACAGAAAGTATAAAGAAAAACTTTCATGAACTTGCTCTGTACCATCTTGCAATAAAAAACATACCAAGTTTTTGCATCAGGTATCTCACATTAAGACAGGGATGAATACATCTGCCAATGAAGCACATGTGTGATGTGACGTGATCTTAATTTAGCTAACATGGAAGATAGAAAAATTAACAAATATTCTTTAGTCTACTACAAATGAACCACCTTTGGGAGGGATTATTTTCTTAAAAAGCTTTAACAAACCAAAGTTCTGGGTGGAAGCAGTGTGATACCTGCTGCATAAATGATGAAGATAAAGTCATAACTAAAATAATAACCTCCTTACACTTTAATTGGTAAGCCAGTCCCTCTCATGGAAAACGTGACAAAGCTCATCCATGAACAGTAATCTTTTCACTTTCAGCCCAATAATTTGTTTTAGAACAATCTCAACATGAAATCACTGAAATTTAGTGTTCATGAAGTTTTATGGATGAAAAAAGAGATCATTATATACATGCTGAAAAATTTTTGTACAAAATATCTTAGAAAGAAAAACTGAGAACCCTGCAATCACCATCTCTTTGTTGAAGGACTACAAGAAGAAGTTGCAAGAGATGTTTTTGTAAAAGGTGAAACTCATACATTAGTTGTCACTTGAGCCATTTTCTGTAATACAGTCCTTGTATCTGAGATGGGAAAGTCTTTTATAGCCTCCACTGCCTTCTGTCCATGTTCCCTACAAAGACGCTTCGTTTCTTCCAGAGCCTTGCTCTTTGAGATCAGCTTAAGTGCCTGCATCTGAAATTAAACACTAACATTCTCATTTACCACTTAAATAAAATATATTTAATGCATGCACTAGTTATACATTTAAAATGAGTGTTTGATTAGCCTGCAGAGTGTGAAACAATTTAAAAAAGTCAACATTTTTAAATGCGAAAACTATGGAACTTATGTATTGGAATATTTTGTCTGTATGTGGTCTTGTCAAATTATTTAAAATCAGCCGTAAGGACTTGTAATGAAGCACCTTTCCACTCGTAGTTTTTGCACAATTATTGAGAAAATCCACCCTATCCTGGTCTCCCCCCATGGCATAGAGAACTGATGGAGCAGATGTTGGGTTAAAAGGAGCACTGCCGCCATCTTCACTTATGTATGGCTGAAGATCTTCATTTAACTGGAAATGAAGCAACATGTTCAGAGCAATTTTATCTTCATAAATTACTTGCAAGTTATGATCCATCAAAAGAGAAAATAATATAATGCTGTTCAAAGTGCAATAAAATCTGGGCTACACTGATAATAATAATGCAAATGCACAGAAAATGCTGCTAAGTTATGTACGGTTGGAGATCTTCATTTAACTGGAAATAAAGCAACACGTTCAGAGCAATTTTATATTCATAAATTAATATTCATTAATTAACGTGAAAAAAACATCAGAATATCAGCTATGAGAATGCACAGAAAAATGCTGCTATGCAATCAATGTGAAGTGCATGATAAATACAAGATGCTATACAATCAATTTCTTTCTGTGGAATCATGTGGACAGAAACTAATGGATTTACCCTTATACATGAAGGTCCACATAAACAAGGAATTTATTCCAAAAAAGTTCCCCTTACCTGCCTAGCAAATGTCAAATATTTCCCAAAGTTAAAAGCTTTTTCTTGCACATCTTGTGAGTGTTTGGCAAGTTCCATGGCTGCCTTACAACTTTTTGCAACCAGACTCCCAGCAGAGAGAAATGTCTGTTCATACCAATTGTCCATTGTTGTGGTTGTTTTCAGGACTGGGCAACCACTTTTATCTGTAAGTCCTGTGAATTCTGCTTGCATTAAATCACCAATGGCACTGGCAATTATTTCTACAACCTACAGAAAAAATATATGTAATTGACACAGAAGGAATTTTAATTCAATAATTTCTGGCATAAATAAAATGTTTCCACTGAGAATGTTTCAATTTGTTTTTATGACATAATTTCTTGGAGAAAAAATGTTCAAAATATTGAAACAGATATAACACATCACCATGATGACTGATACTAACAATAAAAATCAATTAATATTGAACTTTTGATTTGTGTACGGTCATAACTAACCTTGGTATTTTCTAAGTCAGCAAGAGCTGTTGAGGCATTGGCTAAGAAGAAATCTCCACTTAAAACAGACATCTTGTTTCCAAACTCCATGTCTTTCATCATGCCATCTGCTGGCTTGACTTCAGCAAGATTGACCACTCCTTTGTGAATGAGGTTGGCAGCATATATCATTTCTGCAATTTCTGCAAGATTTCTTTGGCTGAAAGTAAATAAAAATTGATTAACATTACATAACTTGAATATTTCCAAATATAACTGAACAATTTGTTTTGTTCCTCAAAGGACATCTCTAACAGTCTTTAATGGATACCAAATGGGAATTAGTAAATGATATCCCCTCCTAAAATACAGAGGTAGAGATCTATACACTGAAATATATAAAATGCAGAATTCCTCCTTCATTGCAGAAAAAAATCATTAACGACTGACAATACCTCTGATATATACCACAGACCATTTCACGATCAAAATCAGGCATCTTATCAGGATGGTTGGAAGGTCCAGCAGCCTTGGACAATAGTAGAATGATCAACCCTCTGGTCTGAGGGCCCTGCTTGTCATCCCATATAAATGTTCTGTAACAGTGGGTATAACATGCTGACATGAAAATATGCTTTTCTTCAACTAAGGTAAAAAAATACTGGGATCACACATACACACACAAATTGACGGACTTCTGCTTGAAAGCAGTGTATGAAATGGCCGCCTGCCCGCCAGCCCGAGGCTGGTAACTTTCAGGCCGGGCGGGTAAGATTTGCAAATTACCCGCCCGACGGGCTGGCTATTTTCACAGCCTATTTCCACCTTTTATTTTGTCTATGTTCACAAGCGATTTCAGCAAAATATCAAATAAACTCAATGTTTTCACCCACTTTCAAAGAAGCAAAGAACTAACCATAGCTTGCAATCGAACGCTCGTAACGAAATGTAACCAACAGTCTCCCTCTCAGTGGCCTCGTTTTCGAAGTTCCGTCTCTGTGATATGAAGTTGAAAGACAATTTGAAACGAGGCACATTGTTCTTAACCAGCTTCAGTGCACAGCAGATAACGTTACGTCATTGTTTTGTGTAGAGGAGATACCGCGTGTAGCAATTTGTAGGTTGAGAGTAATAAAAATGTGAAAGTATAAAAAGTTATGATATTGATTAAATAGACTTATAGGTACATGAAGTGCTTATAATCAACAGTAATCAAGGCAACGGAGGCAAATTAAAGGAAAATTTTACAAAAAATTTGAATCCCAAAATTATGAGTGAACGTACGAGTTTACGCCGTGCGTCAGATGTAGTTCTTTTCCCACGTGCTTTCATCTTGGGCTGTCAAAAATGAAAAGATTCTATCAAGTCCGATACAGAAGTTCACAAAAGAAAAACAATTGAGGAAAGAAATAAAAATAACAAAGATTACGACAGAACCAAATGAAAGAGAACAAATTGGGACTCATGGAAAGGTGACTTCGATTTGCAATTAGTCGAGCGGCAACATTTTTTGTAAAACCGTAGGCCTAACTCCAAAGTATCATGCATTGCGACCGAGCGCAAGCATCTCGATCCAATAACTCGCCCCATATAATATATTGTAGCCTCTATGTGATATATATAGCTATTCTCAATAAGCAATGCTTTCAAGATACGGGGCCCTGCAGGACTGTCTATGGGCCATTAGCGTGCAGGACCGTTCCCGACCGCTTTTAAAAGCTTAAAAGCGATATTCAAAGGGACCCTATACGTGCTGAATTCTTTCTCCTTTATTGTCAGCACAGAGATCGATTTATTTGACAACAATATATATGTTTGGTCATACTTGTTGCTATACAGAAAAGCAAAAATTATGATCAAATGATATCACGAAATCGGAATAAAATTTATGAATAAATTATTGAAGAAGAAATGAGAAACACAAGGTGAACATAAACTGAATTGACTACCCCCGCCCTCCCCCGCCCACTATAGGGCCCTGAAAATTTTTGGTATTTTAGATGGTGAATGGTGCCATTTGGTATGGTTTAGAGCTATGATTCAACTAGTGAAAAGTCTTATTTCAAGAGGTGAGGGTTTTTTTTACAGAAATTGAAAGTGGGGCGTCAGGACCCCCCTGACCCCCCCTCTAAATCCAACACTGACAAGGTATCATTCAGTAGAAATTCCAACCAATTTCTAAATTTCCATGCATAAAGCATGATATTGCCCTTTCATTTCCAAATTACTCTCCCAAGAATGCACTCTAGACCCCCTCGGCATACCTCTCTTAACTTTAGGGGTTATCATAACTAGGGCAGGTAACTACATGGCCGGGCTGGTAACTTTTCAGAGTTACCTGCCTGGCGGTCTGGCTAGTAATTTCCTTGAATTTCATACACTGTTGAAAGGAAAAGCTATTCATCCATATCTTCAATGTTTTACTACGCAAGACCCTAACTAATTTTCAGCCATAAATTTCTCTCCTTGTTGTCAGTGAATTAGTCAATTAATAAAATGCATTACCTTGCTGTATGTAACAGAGGGTGTTTTGTTCCCACTAGTTTTCCTACTTGCATAGCTACATTGGCAAGTTCATCACTGAATATACAGCGGAGACTGAGGAGTGATGTGGAATATCCCACAAGTTTTTCAGCATCCATGACAGTTTTCTTCCATTCATCAGGTTTATTGAAGCCCCATAATGCCAGGCACCGTCTGCACAGTGTCAGTGGCACTGCCGGGGATTTGAGTAGACCTTGTATGGTTCCACTTTTATTGGCCATGAACCTTGCAATGGTGAAGGCAGACCTGGCAAGAACAAGGAATTTATCTGAGTGACAACACAATTTGCCTCTGAAACTACACATATTTTTCTAGTCTGAAACATTTATATTTTTTATTTTAGTATGTGCATTAACAGAAGACTTGCTTTACTGCTCGAATTATTGTCATCTCAAACTAATTTTTTCCCTTTTATTGGTATTTGCTGAATTTAATTTGAACATTACCGAACATTGATATTCACGTAACTAGAACACATTTTCCGCTCTAACTTAACTAGAATCTTCACAAACAGCTTTTTCAAATAACAAAAATTATACTCTTGCTGTGAACAATTTCATAACATTGCATTACTCGATATCTGCAGTACGGCACTTGGTAGCAAACTAGCAATCGTAGCTTTAGGTAAGTAGTACTAATAACAGATGTCAGTGGTAGTAGCAATGGCCCATCGGATATTAATACTTACATTTCTGAATCGTCTTTTGGTTTATTTCACGTTAATTTCAATCACGTAAGGAGTCACGTTCCTTTCCTCACATGCTGATGTGAAGTACGTCATCAATATATGTGAAGCAAAGCTTGCTGACGTAGAATTCATGACAGCAGAGTAAATACAAGTTAGCCTAGGTTTGCAGGCTCCATTGTCTGGTGTGTTTATGTAGTATTTCTTACTTGGATTCCGATTTTGCAAGAATGCAAGCACAGAATCGGCGTCGAAGATAGCCTCTCAACTGTTGCCCTGTCGAGAAACCCCATCACCTAGTGGGTTTGCGACTGTGAGTGTGAATTTGCAGGTCTCAACTTTGCAGGTCTGACTCTGTAGTGTTAAGACTAAGAGGCAACTGAGATTAGTCTATGGACTGAAGTGTCATCACATATATAACAAAATCACAGCCAGTATGACGTCTTCTAAGAGCAAAAAGGTTTGGATTCAGTTAAGGAGGTTTGACTTGGAAGGTGAGGAAATACAACTGTCTTTATTCTTCCTGATTTATTGAATTTGCCCTAAATTTGAAAAAAAAAATTATTTCTTGGGACTAGTTATCACTAACAAATAATACGAATTTCATACAATAAATTCAACAGTCTTTGTAGAATTAAAACCTTGATGGACTTTGTTTCCAACTGAAAAATACCTATGTCATTTTCATTAACATTCTATTATTGCAGATGAAGAGCACTCACAGAAGATCGACAAGCTGAATTCTGTGTATTTGGCAGATGACATGGACTCAGATTTTGTAAAGATTGTTATCAGAGAAGCCTTTGGTTTGTTTGATACAGGAGTAGTGATGAAGGTTAATATCGATTTTAATAAGTTAAGGTTTTATTTTCCCTCAGTTCTTTTCCTGCAGACCAATTATATTGTCTTTAAAGTAGTTTCAACATTAAAAATTGAAGTTTTATATATATATTTTCATTATGACACTTTCGAAGATACAATGTGGAAACTTGTTGATTTTCAATTGTACTAGTAAGTTAAACATTTCACAGGTGTTTGTTTTATCGTTATTGATTTGCTTTATTAATTTCAGTTAAGAAACCACCGAGGTTCTTTGATCCCCATCAACAGTGCTCTTCAACCTAACTCTAAGTCTGTGTAAGTACATGTATTGAGGACAGAGTGGTTCATTCAACTGTGGCATAGAGCAAGGCTTTGGGACCAACATTCAAACTAATCATTTAGACTTAATTGATTTGTTACATACTGGAATGAAGTTTTATACCAGAAATATTACATGAAGAAAAGAATCAACGAGTTTCCACATTGTATTCAATTTATTAGATGAATGTGCAATACTAAAGTAAGTAACTCTTAATATCAACAAAAGGAATATATATTGTACTATAATTATAATGTTTTTTCCAGACCTTATGTATTGGAAATATTTAGAGTATATCAAAATAGTAAGTATTTTAAATAGTATTTTAAATGCTTTCTTTAAATTACAGTAGAATTTTACGCACATAACTAAAATTAACAATCACTTGCACTGTACACTACTTTAAATTTTGAAGAATGATTTTGAGATGAAAATAAATGTTTAAGGGATATGCTTTTCAAGTAAAAGAAAAGACTGAGAAATAATCTGACCTTTAGAACAGAGAGAAATTTTAAAATTCTTATTCCAGTTAAACCATTACCTCGATCAATCAGAATGCCAGGAGCTCACGAGTCTGTAAGAAAGAGTCTGAATTCTATTTTGCAAAGGGTAAGATTGGGAAATTGAAATCTTTAGTCATACCTTTAAGAGTTCAATCTTCACCGTTCAATCTTCACACTTCATAGTTAAATCTGTTGGTTACAATCCGTCAGAAGTTATAATTGAGATCATAGCATTCTACTGTTGCGTGTGTTGATCTTTATAATAAGTATTAATATACTCAGATGATTGTAAAATTTTGTCATGCCACTTCCATACTTGTTATTAATTTCATTTATAACTGCATGTATTTATGTATAACATTGGTAGTTTCATTTTTACATGCCTGTTTTTACTTGTAGATAGAAAATGTTGAAAATGCTACCCCAGAGCTCAAACAGAAAAGAGATGCCAAACTGGCGGCCGTAAGTAGAGTACTGGTCACTGTGTAGATTACATTGAGGAAAAAATGTCTTCCTTGAGAGTACTTGACTGAGAGAGAAAAAAATTCATTTATAATTACACAGCCATTTGTGTAGCAGGAGTCGTCGTTAAGTGTTCCATATATTTCTTATATAAACTAACTTTTTTCAGGAGCTTGAAGATTTAGATCGCAAGCTGGTTTTTCTCAATAAACGACTGGATGAAGCATCTGGGGTTTCGTGGAAGGGCATGTTTAAAAAGCACCCAATGTGGTAACAAGATAGACCTTGGTCATCCAGCAAGGCCATGTACATGTACTGGGTAGCTCATAGTTCATGGAGCTTGCTTTGTTATACAGCAATGTTACATTTAATGTGTGCAATTTCATGCAGGACACTTAGGACTCTCCCTCAAATATTTGTGCATTTCTCTTCAAATTAGACACAACTGGAGTTTTTTTTAGGCTCAGTGGATAAACTTGTAGTCATTGTGTATATTTTGTAAATTGGAAAAATTTTAAGAATTCTATTAATTTATAGTTACAAAACATTGCAATCATGTGAACTGTTTTCCATTACTCTAACTGTTATCATTGAAAGGGTCATAAGGAAAGGAAAATTACAACTCCTTTTTATGTGTATTCTGTGCCAAGATTTCACCCCTTATAATGTCTAGTAGTAGTTAGTCTTGTTTCATTATGAAATTATGCCCCATACTATTGGGCCCGGTTTTATCAACACTGAATAGCACTTTCCACTGTATAACACTATCCATTAGCTGAATTTGTTATCCTCTGTGCAGTTATCCTGTGGGTAAAGTAATGTTTTCTAATATCTGTCTGATATTACTATCCAATAGTTAAAATGTCTGCTATCCTCAGGATAACTGTCCAGTGGATAACAATTTTATCAAATGGATAGTGGTTTCCATAGGGTAGTGCTATCCAGTATTGATGAGACTGGGCCCTGTGCTTTACAAATTCAACATTGATCAAACTATCACTCTTGGTGTCCCCCCCCCCTTTTTTTTAAATAAAAATCTTTGAAAATATTCAAATAAATAAATGGTAGAGTTGGGTGTTATTGATTTTGTTTTAAACAATCACACTGCATTTTCCATGTGAATTTGGTTTATTTAGATGTTTACTTAAAAAGCAAATCACTTTATAGTGGTGTAGATCTCTTTTGCTAACTTAAGACTGTAACAACAATATGCTGACAAAAAGCAAAGTTCATTATCCATCTTCAGAATACCAATTAATGTAAACTCAAATATACAACCAAAATAATACAACTGAATTGTTGGTCTGATTCCTCAATGCTGAGTTGGCCCGTCATGCTGTTGTTAGAGAAACATGATTTATGTCCAACTTGCTTTATGCAACTTATCTACATCTCAAGTATAAAATCACCAAGGTCGTTGTAAAAAATCAAACTGTCTTACAATAATAGAAATCCATTAACATGAAGATCATGTGACTGTTATGATTAATGTGCACATTCTACGGAAGATTTGGAGTTTTCTGACATGCCAGGTCGGAAATGAAGTTTTGTTCACTTTTTCTTTCACTCTCTGTGCAGCTGAAGAATCCCACTCATTGTGATGTATATGCATGCCATCCTATGTACACTGTCAAATAAAGTTTTATGATTTTTATTGGTAAAATGTACTACTGACTTCCCATGCCTTCTTGTAATTTCCTATGATACACTCGTTGTACTATTTGCACTGTGTCTAAATAACGGTCCATACACATGGTTAAACATTTCTGGAAATAAGAAAATGACAAAAATGTAGAAAAGCAATTACTTTCACTGGCATGGCTCAAAGTACAAATCAAAACAATAAAACCTTGGATTTTTACAAAAAAAAAAAAAAAAAAAAAAATAATATATATATATATATATATATATATATATATATATATCACAAGCCACAAAATTGAGGGACTATCACTACAGCTGTTGAAACATCCTATCCTGTTTGAGTACAAAGAATTATTTTATTCTTGACAAAACTAGTAGTGAATGTCCTAAATGGTTTAAATCCATTTGAACGATAGTAATTAAAAAAAAAGAACAATTCAGCTCAGAAAGGTAAACCATATAGGTGTAGTAACATGACAATGGAGAAATTACCTCCTCCCAGCTTGAAAGTGAGGCACCTGGCTTTTCTATACATTTGTGGAAGCACTTGTCATTTATTTTCTGAAATGAAAAAGTAACATTTTTTTTTCTTATTTCCTAAATGTTTGAATAGTGTCCATGTTGAATACAGGAGGAAAGAGGCAATCAATTTTGTGCCATGCTTGAGAGACATTTTAAAATGATGACTGGGGGGGGGGGGGGGCATGGGGACATTATGGTAGAAGGCAGGTTTTTGGAATCAAGTGTGACAGCTGCAAATATCTAATAAGATTTGAGGATAAGGAGATCTTAAGTTTAATAAAATTACATTCAGAGCCTTGACATTTTGCATAAAAGATGGAACAGTACAACAGATTCATTCACACTAACTGGAACTTCCAAACACATGATACGGTGCTTGAACAAATACCAAAATATTGCATCATGGGCGGTGTTGTTTATGTTATTATTTCAAAACTTGCATAATAATATTTTAGGGAAACTCGGGGAAAATACTTTAAAACTAAAACAGCTGTAGGTGTACACTACAAGTGGTCATTTTTACCTTTTCTTACATAGCTCAATACTTTATAGTTACTATCCCCTGCGGCATTAGACCCGTTTAACCCCCATATCCCCTCTTGCCTGCTTGACCTTGCAATGAGATTTTGAACGTGTTTATTGTTTAGCTTGTTGGCTAACTCACCTCTAGGATCATTTGGTTAAAAGATGCTGTAATCTGTTGCTGTGCTGCTGCTAATATTTTATCTCTGTCTGCAGACGAAATACCCCCCTTGCTACCCACAGGACTGTCGAACGAATTCATAGTTTATGTCTAGATGCACGTGTTACGTATTGCTCGACTTGCAGTAGAATATAGCAGGGTCGCAGTTATTTTTGGATCAACAGTATCATTTGATAAGTTTGCAATAATGTGACAAATAGAAGACATTTTCATTCAACAAAAATTCAACAATTTTTTTATTTTTTAATGGAAATTGAATATTTATATAATTTGCTCATTTTTATCAAAAACATTTTGTCTGTGCGGAGGACCGGAAGTATGGGCGACAGGTGATTATGACGAGGAAGGCTTGCATTTTCTTTTACAACTCAATGGAACATAGGGTTTGGCGATGATTGAACAACTTCATTAATGTTTGATTCATGGAGATAATTTGACGGAAGTAAAGCAAATTGCCCCAAGTCAGGTGAGTAGTGTCACAATGCACAGCATACGCTAGGCGTAATTTTTTGCGAAGAAAAGTATCGTTTTTCGGGAATTGTGTTTCTGCTTTCAGTGCAATGTATCTTGTTAAGTCATTCTTACAAACTAAGTACTTTGTAATTCTGCAGGCAAGGAAGATCTTTTCTGAGAAACAGATTTGACGCCACGACTTTCTCGTGATCTATTAATGTGGTAATGCAGATGATCTCCTGTATGTTTTTGGAGATAGGGAAGCTGCTTTCTGGGTTACATGCCTGTAAGTCCCCGCACCGATACTCCCCCACAATTACAGATATACTAAGGGGGAGTATCAGTGCGGGGAAGTATCGGTGCGGGGGAGTATCTGTACGGGGATGTACCGGTGCGGGGATCTATTAGTGTGGGGTCGTACCGATGCGCATAATACAAAAAATTACTAAGGGGGATTATTGGTGCCGGGGAGTAATGGTGCGGGGGAGTAATGGTGCGGGGGGGTATCGACATGCCCCCTTTCTGCACTTCCTTACTTTTTTGTTTGATTTCTGCACTTCTTTACTTTTTTGTCTCATCCTTGTCGCCAAGATAGTGTTTTACTCTATTCTGACAGCATTAAAATACACTTCTGGTACTTACTAAGAGTATTGCCTGTTCCTTCTGTTTAGTTGGGACACCACGTTTCTTTTGAATAGCTTTGCCTTGTGTAGAGTGAGAGCTTGCACGTCTGCCACTCGTCAGATCTGGAGGGATCTAGGGCATGGTTGGCTCTTACTTTATATGTGTGCATCCCTGTGTAGTCCCCATATGTGCAACAGGAATCCAGAATCCTCTTGGCAGTGACAGAAAACACTACATTACAAACTACTGTAATATATGCACATACTGTGGAATATGCTCTGTGCACAATATCTACAACAACTTCCACAGGACCTTCACTGAGCTCATATACACTGCACACTAATGTTTAAGTTGAGCTCGCACTGCTCTCTTAGTTGTTTAGGGCATTAAAGCATTAAATCCTGTTGACGAAATTTGACAAGGCAGGTGCCATGGAAGTCGCACCTTCTGTTAACATTTCATTGGCTGTCCTGTCCAACTCTGGGCTTTGATGCCCTTAAGACTTGATGCAGCCCGACAGACTTCTTTTTTTGATTTGAAGAGATCATTTTCATTAAAAACTCTTTGCTCCTGTTTTTTAAAAAATTCTATCATGAACATGCTTTGTTACATGTAGCGATTATTGCTTCTGCTCACAATCTCCAACTGTGCAATTTATACTTATACAGAAATCAGTGCAATAGAGCCATGAGTTCCTCATGCTCTGAAGAGGTTGACCTACTTCAGGACTCAAAATATCGATCGTACATCCAGAGTGTTGAAAAAGCCCTGAAAAGCTTTGAAAACACCAGTGAATGGGCAGACTTGATATCAGCTCTTGGGAAACTAAACAAGGTAAATTACTTTCAGTTTTGACATTTTACTTGAGTTAACTTTGTTTTTTAAAACATCCGAGTGTATGCGTAGTTGTGATTTTGTTTTTGAACTTAATTGTTCATTATTTATTTATTTTTTTATCTGTTTATTTATCTATATTTTTCTGAGAAAAAACTTCAAGTTTATATGTAAGATCATCTCAATAAGTTAATTAGCATGTTGAGTGGATGTGCTTTATATTTAAGACTTTCTGAATATGCAACATATGACTTTTCTTCCCACCAGGTGCTCCAGTCTCACAAAAAATATGACGTGATACCTAAAAAGGTGACCATTGGGAAGCGTCTGGCCCAGTGTCTTCACCCAGCCCTTCCAGCAGGGGTACACCTCAAGGCAATGGAGACCTACGACATCATATTCAATACCATAGGGACCACGCGGCTTGCCAAAGACATGTTCATATACAGCGCAGGCCTTTTCCCGTTGTTGTCATTTGCTGCAATGAATGTCAGGCCAACGCTGTTGGCTATTTATGAGAACCATTTCTTGCCTCTTGGCCAGAGTCTCCGGCCTGGGCTAACTGGACTGCTGATGGGGGTGCTGCCAGGACTGGAGGAGGGTTCTGATCATTTTGACAGGTTTGTTGTTAATGTTATATGTAAGTGTTGGAAATGTGAAATTAGTTGAGTGGGTGGAACAATAATTAAATTGTGTGTATGTTGGACAAAGTTATCTGAAAACTCAGAGAAAACATTTTGCTGAATTTTATTTCACTTGAATTATTTAATAAACTGGTTTAATGGTTTTAGCATGAATACAGTACTCAGAGTATGTTTTTAAGTCTTCATTTTGTAAGTCATCACACATAGGTAATAGTTTTTGTTATCCTCCTCAGACATGCTGAAACTAACAGCCCTACTGGTCATGACCGATATTAATTTTAAGGACTGACAGAAATTTCTATTCAGTTGGTCCAAGCAACTGGCAACAATTTTAAGAGCTGCCATTTTGAATTTACAGTTAGTCTGGTAAAATTTTCTGGTCTGGCAAATTTTCATAGCTGCAGTTCTGAATGCCTGGCTGTTAAAAAAATTATAGCATGTCTGTCTCCTGCCTGTGTGTCATGAATTTTTTTTACTTTCAGAACAAACTCTCTCCTGGAAGAATTCTGCAAGGTCACAGATTCCACATTTTTCTACGGTTGTCTATGGGAGTGTGTTCTGTCTGCCCCCACCATCCGTCTCCCTGCAGTTAACTATGTACTGGCCCACTACAACAGGAAACTGAGCATGGAGGATCAGCTGTATATCATGGGCACCAACATTGACATTATGGTAATATTCTCTAAGTTCTGAATTCACACAAAATGACACTGATGAATTTTGTATGATTTATATGGATGTACTGTAAATAGAGGTACTTATCAGAAGAGGACACAAGTTATGCTGGTTGTAAGTTATTAAGATGCATTTTAAAAGATTTTATTTTTGTGCAGTTTTGAAAAAGTTCTGTTTGACCATTACACTCAGGTTTATATATGTTCATGCATAGTTTTCGTGAAATAAAGATTGACATTAAATGTTTACATAAATATGGCTTACTATTTTTAACCAGACCAAAAGAGAGGAATGAAAAAGCCAAAGCACAAATATCTGGTCAGCAGTGTCAAATGAATGCAAACAATGCAAATATCCAAAATTAATAAAAACATTACCATGATTGTTTGTAATTTTAGGTTCAAGCTTTGAGTAGTGCCGTAGAGGATAAAAGTGCTCTGGTGCAGCGTAGTGCTCTGGAACTGCTGCTCAGTGGTTTCCCCATGCACAACAGTCAGCTGACCAGACCAGACATGATCAAACTACTCACCTCTGGTATGTGATACTTAGTGCACATTCAGAACAGTGGACTAACAGATGGCGACCCATTTCAAAGCTTGCTGGTTAATTTCCAATTAGACACTTTATAGATTTCACATGGGGATTACGCAACAAGCATTCAAGTAGATCAGCCATATTTGATCCGCAGATCTGTTGATCCGCTGTTCTGAATGTGCTCTTCATTACTATACATAAGAGTGTGAATCAGCAAATGTTTATCAATCCGTATATATTTATATGTGCAGGAAAGGTAGCACCCTGACAATATGGGGTAATGACTCGGATCTTTTCAATGGGCAAAAATTTTTTAACTTTCAGGTCCTGTCTTATATAATCACAAAAATTATATTTCTACATAGTATTTACGGTGCTCTTACTGCATAGAATAGGACTATAGAGTAGCCTGCATTTTGATTTTGTTGCTAGCACTGAACAGGATTGTACTTAGTTAAAAAAAATTATGACTTAAAGAATACAGTATCTGTAAAATTCACAAATTTCCCCATTGAAAAGATCAAGTTATTACCATATCTGCATCAGCAATATGAATGACCCCTGGGATTATTAGCTAGCTCAACTCATAATTGTAGGCTGCCAAAATGGCCAACCAGTGCATGATGGCCCATGGCACCTAATTTAGCTGTAGTAAGAATGTATGTCATTGAATAATTATTAGTAATAACCACAAACTTGTGATCATACAAGAATTCATGGAATCATTGCACCACAGTCAACTTTAGTGCAAGAAACTCTGAATAATATTCATAATATAATGATTATTATAATAGCAGTATCTGTTATTATTACCTTTTTATTTCTGTCCTTGAATGGCTGCAAAGATATTGTAAAAATGTGTATTGTACCTGACTTGAAAAAAAATTGTTTAGTATTCATTTACTTTACTAATAATTGATTTTACAGGCATCTATGTGGTCCTGCGGCGAGACATGTCACTAAACAGGAGACTGTATGCCTGGTTGTTGGGCACTGATGTCAATGGAACACCTCTCCTGTCTGTACCCGAACAGCACAATAAGCAGCTGAAAAGATGTGACAGCAGCGAGAGTGGGGAGACGGAATTACATTACTTTAATACATATTCTAAAACCCTTCTGGTCCTGGCACTGAAGTCAGTATTGAGTGAGGAAAGAGGGAGTGAAGAAGAAAAAGAAAACAGAGGAAAGCAAACTTTGAGTGCTGGGCTGAAACCTTTCAGAATTCTTATCAGCTTGTTGGACAAACCAGAAATTGGTTCCTCGGTTGTTGAAGATGTCTTAGTGGAGGTGTTCAGGTGTCTGTACAGAGAGTGTGCAGTGGAGCTGCAATCAAAATTGTCCAAGAAGTCTCGTGGTGATATCTATAGAGAGGGTTCCATCTCTAGCATGGACATGGGAGCATTTCACTCTACTGAGAACAATGTCAGAAAGCATGATCGTCTCAGCAATGAACTAATCAAAACAGCCAACTTATTCTTTGGTACATTTGAACCCTATTTCCTGTGGGACTTCTTGACAAAAACCTTTGAAAATGTTTGCAAAGCAAAAGAGCCTACTGCTGAGAAAGGAAAACCAAAATTTGGAGCAGCTTTGAATTCAAACCTAGGTGTTTCAGAGTTCTGCAGTTTGGCCAGTTTTCTACTGGATACAGTGACATTGGTAAGTTGATTATGAACTCTGGGATCTCATAAAGTATTGTTTTTATCAAAAAAAGTTAAACACCAAGTTGAAAAAAAATGGAGACTATGAAGAACCATTTTGTTGCCCTGGCACGATGAAAAAAAAAAACAAAAAACAAATAACAATAGAGTGGAACATGAAAGTCTTATTCTTCAGCATGTTGTATATACAATGTAAAAGTTAGCCCTGCCTATTTTTCTCTTGTAGGAAACTTACACAGAAACTCAAACAGAATACCTTCCAGAGCTACTTGGTCACATTACCACATCAATAACAGACCACTGCAAGGTTCTTACAGATTCTGAGGTGACTGACGCTCTCAAACTGTGCTCCAAAAATCCTGGCTCATGTGCTGCCATCTATGACTCCCTTGTCTGATAACGACAGTGACAGCAGCTGTGATGATGAGGATATCTTTGATGGGAATTGCTCTTCTGTAACTCTGACATCTGCCACTCCAGAGAAAAGAGGAAATGATTCAGAGATGGCGTCAAGGGAGGGGTCTCTGGATCCTACAAGGAAGACTGATGATGAGTGCTATGAAAGTGCTGTAAGTGATCTGGAATCTGACAAGACACATCCGTCAGATCCATCAGATAAAGGAAAGTTGACTGTCCCAGGCAAGGGAGAGTCCAATGCTAAAAATAAAGACAAAACACCTCCTCGTAGTCCACTGAAGCTGTACACTTCCAAGCACAGTGCAGACCAGATTCCTAAGAAACCATTAACAACCATGCAGGCATGTGTGCAGTCTTTCCAGACATTCTTTACTACATTTTCTTACCACAGGATCACCCCAGACACTGGAGTGCTGGATGACTGCCTACAGAGACTTATGAAAGGCTATGAAGACAAGGTAGAGACTGGTCTTCCAAACTAGAATAGAGTAATACATTATAATATTGTTGACGTTGGAATGCATTCAATTTGGTGCCGTTTGAAAGTGAAATTTTTTTATTGGAACATTAGTTTTGATTTAAATTTATTCATATATTTTGCTGACATGATGGATGTGTGCTTATGTAATATGTTTTAATATGTTAATATGTCAATTGCAGTACTCTTACCACCTCAAATTAACTAAATTGATGTGCCAATTTTACATATCTACTAGGTATATTCAGAGGATAACGACACTAGTAACTCAGAATCAGATGACAGCCACAAGCCAACTGGAGATGATTTTAAGATTCAGCCCCCTTCCACAGCAGGAAAGCAGTGTTCTGAAGCATTCATGGCAGCATGTCAGTTGTTGATTGATTTCTCCAGCTTCCCTCTGTACTGTACTGATCACAGCCTGATTCTGGACAAGACATTTGGTGTTGGTATGTAAGAACTTGAAACTTTAAGAGAGGTACTTGTAAATAAAGGTATTGGGATTGTGTAATTTTTGTATGTAACATGATACAATGCAGTTGATTTGTTATTAAAGAATGACTGTCTATACACATCAATTTTCATGCTGTTTGCTTTAACTTTAAGAAAATAGCATGAAGATGCTATGGTAGCTTTACTGAAAATAAGTCAGGAATGGTATATTTGAATTATCTATCTGTTCACTGTTGAATGTGATATAAAATTAAGATTCATTAATGATGCTATATTTCCCTCCCCAGATGGTGATATGTTTCCCCCCTGGCTGAAGATACTTCTGTCCTGTGCCTGCTACATGGACAACTTTGACATCCAAGCTGGTGCAGTCAGTGCCATGTTAGACCTGCTCACTCTCACTGGGTCCATACTGGACCAATGTGAAGACCTGGCCAGGAAAAGACATTGCTCAGCCAGTGACGGGACAGTGTCAGTTGTCATTGTGCCCCCACTGGCTCCTAAGGTCTTTAGACATATTAATGGGACACCTAAGTTTTATAAGGTAATGTCACACAATTTGGAGTTAATTTCTTAAGCCAAGAGTAATGCATTTATAAATAAGTGCAATTTATAAATGGCATACATTGCATTACCAGAAAAGATACTCATGAACTCAAAACGAAAATAAAAAAATATACTTGGAGAATATTTTTTAAATTGAAAGTTAACCATAAAGAAGTATACTTTTAAAATGCCAAAACATTGTATTTATTTGCTAGAACACAGTGGGTATTATGTTATAGACTGTATATGCATATCAAATATTGCCTTTGCCTTGTGTTCAGATTGTTGCTGAAAGACTGTGGTGCTACCTAGGACAAGACAGTCCCAACTGCCACCAGAAGGGTGTGGAGTTGTTCTTCCAGCTGCACCAGCTTGCTCCCACAGAGTGGGTGTGTGAGGATGTGATAGGGAATGCACTGGTATCAGAGAATGAGGTGAGAAAGCAGGCCTGAAGATGAGATTGATCAATTTGGTGAAGATTATTGAATGATAGATATAAAATATAATTCTATGATTAAGAAACTTATTATGTGATTAAGAAACTTATATTATCTCTCAGATATGGATATTGGAAATTTTGATTCTAGATATAAGATTGTTTAAAAGTTTCACAGCAGAATAACGTTGTATGTAAATTGATATTTCCTAAACTAGCGAGAGAGGGTTGAGGCTCACCAGAAGTTTGCAGTGTTATGGCACCTGACGAGAGAGGTCAGACACAAGCCAGGCATGCCACAGGTCAAAAGAACTTTTGAAAGGTACAGAAAAGTATATCTCCCCTTATATGCTACTCTTTTGTTAAATTAAATGTGTACACCGCATAGTAAAGGGGTATCAAGTACAATGCAAGTGGGTGCCAAACTTAATTAAACTGTCAACAGTCCACTTTCTAAGGGGCTGTTCAGGGTGAGTGAGATTGCAAAAGCCACTGCTATGACCAAACTCATTCTAAACAGCCCCTAAGATGACAGTATTAATGAATCATATATGTATGTATTTGGTCAAATCTGAAAAATTAATACAAAATTAATTTAAGATATTACAGTCATTTTTCTTCATGTCATCAAGGGATTGTCTTGACTGTCTCTTACTCTATTCTCCTGTTTTCCAGGTCTTTGTTTGTGCTGCTGGACAGCCTGATTCTAGACAGCAGTCCAACCAAGATGTTAGCCACTGAATGGTTACAACATGCTATCCAGAGGGGAGATATCAACAGAGTTCTGGAGCCTGTACTACTGCTGTTACTTCACCCTGATACTGCCAGGTAAGTTATGTTATACTGTTATATATAACATGCTATCCAGAGGGGAGATATCAACAGAGTTCTGGAGCCTGTACTACTGCTGTTACTTCATCCTGATACTGCCAGGTAGGTTATATTATAAAATGCTATAATATAGTTATATTGTGTGACTGCTTTCTTTTCTTTGTTGTGACAGTGCACAAAACAGAAGGTAAAGACAGACTACTGTATGTTTGAATGATACATAGTTTTGTTAGTGAATTATTTTTAAAGATATCTGCTTAGGCTTGAATGTGAACAAAAATTCCCTGAAGTTATGAATTACTTGCAATTAAAAAGGACTGAATTTGAAAATAAATAATTTTACTTCTATTTCAGGATATCAATCCAACATGTTGATATCCACCAGCCTAGAAAGGTCAGGCTTTCAGAGAGCAATGATGAGTCGGATCACGAAGCCAAAATCTATGCCATCAGCAGTGAAGGAGGCAACGTCATCTATCATGTCTCCAGTGATGTCAAACAAGTTGGCAAGAAGAACGCTGAGGACCTTAGAACCATGGCTGCCTTGACAACCATTGGTGAGAAGGAAACAACAAAGATAGCCCCCGAGAAAGTTCACCAAGATCTTTTCTTTGAAAAAGTGAACCCAGATGCTATGAATATGTTTGTTAATCCATTTGGGTCCAACACATCCCTGGATAAGGCAATGAGAGAGGGGTATGAACCTCCCCCCTCAGAGTTTCCTGATGTCGGCAAAGTGAAGAGACTAGATAAGGATATATGCCAGAAAGAAGGAATAACATTTGACGATGATGTGGACGAGGAGGCAAAGGAGGTAGAGGAAGACAGTGATGAAACAAAAGCTGAAGATTTTGCACAGGAAATCGTTGAAGAGCTCCTGGATCAAGTTCTGCATAATGTTGACAAGGATGCAAACTCTCAAGGCAGTCAGGAGTCACTGTGTCAGGACAGAGACCAGAGAAGCAGCAGTATTGTTTCCAAGGCAAGCAGCAATGAGGATCTGTTGAACAAAATTCAGAGTCGAATATCTGAGGTCGATTCCAGCAGCGAGTGTGATCCTTTGTCTGAGAGACGAGAAGAAATGGAAGAAATCCCAGGAATACATCCTCTTCACACCCATATTCTGCTGTACGCACAGAAATACGACTGCCAGAGAACTCTGTATGCTTTGACTATATTGAAATCGATGATTGCCAGTAATCCCAAACTCTTTATGTGCACCATAGCCTCTACCAGTATTAGCAGCAGGAGGACGGCACATCTTGTTAAACTTCAGAATCTCTTGGCTCGCCACAGGAAGTCTGTGTTTGGGAAGAATTTCTTTGGTGACCTGACAGGAGAGGCAGCCACCTATAGGAACAGCATGTATCTTGAAATCCTGATCTCTGTGTGTCTGTACTTTGTGAGGAGTTATTACCCAAACTTGATGACCAGTGAGCTGTCTGAGCAAGAATTGATTGGGAACAAAGAGGTCCAGATTCTTGCCACTGAAGTCCTAAGCTCCCTGCTGCTAGAGATGATTAGTGTGGTCAAGGAAAGTGGCAAATCCTTTGCCTTTTATGCCACAGAGCTGCTGAATAAGTGCAAGGTGCAGAAAGCTGCGTTACACTGTGCACTGTCAAGTGTGTATAACACAAGAAAGTTGGACACTTCGGCAAAGAATATCAGCTTCACAGACGCTATTGTAGGCTTCAATGACAACTACATAAACCCAAGCACCATAGATGCATTCCAAAGTAAACTGCTCAATGTATTGCTGAAAATTGTCATCTTGGAGGACTGCATCAATAAGACCAAGACTGACCAGGACCAGACTGTGACCACCTCAACAGACTGGGAAAGATCCCAGGTCACCTTCGTACCTCAGCTTCTGTCATCTGCCACATTCAAAGCACGCCAGCCTGTGGCATATCAGGGGATGTTTTTGTCTGCCATATTGAGTGGGTTGAAGCAGCAGCACATGGCACACATGCACCAGCAGTGGATGAGACTGGTCATCTCCTGTCTTCCACATGTAGGCAAAGCTCTGCCAGACTTGGTCAATAATGTGGTCTGTCAACTGTGTAAAAACCTGGAATTTTTGGCCTCTGAGTATGCTGTGGGTGGAGGGAACTATAGAAGGTGGGCACATGACTTTTATTATGTTATGGCTTTTGTGAAATACAGATGCATATGAAATCATTTTAATGTTAGAATTTATTTTCAGCTAGCATGCCAATAATATTTTATTACAAGGTTAAGCCTTAAATTTGTTCTTAACCTAGTTTTAAGACATATTTTTTATAAAAGTGTAACATGGAAAATGGGCACCTTTATATAAATACATATTTATTAATGCCCAGTGATGAAATCATCCTTGCGCTCCTAGCATTGCCATTGTCTTTCACATATGATTGATACAATGTCAATGTGCAGACACTATACAGGGACCTGGATATGTTGTCATGTGGATGACTTTCCAGGGCTGAGGGCCGACACCAATATCAGATATAAGTTCCATATCAACTGTAATGTCATTTTACCCATATAACCACTTTCTTCAACTTACTTATTACATTCATTTCATACTATTGAATTTTAGAACACCTCGCCATCCAGATAAAATTCCCCCAGATCATGTGATATCAGTGCTTGAAGGTTTGACAGGCATCTGTCACTTCTGTCTCCTTGACAACACCAATCAGGTGTCAGTAGGTGGGACTTCAGCAGCCACTTCTGCACAGTCACTGGAGAGCAAAAGTTCTGGGCAGATCTTCAACAACCTGATCCACGTGTTCAACCCAGCACACAGCAGGGTAACTAAGGAAATAAGCAAAATATCTTAAGGGCCAGTTTTTGGCTTCATAATCACATTTACATTTTTGGTCATTCATTTTTGCCATGTTCGAATTCACTTATCACAGTTGGGCGTGGCAATGTACATATATACTTCCAGTAGCTACATGAAAGTGCTATGATAATGCACCAGATATCAAGATTTTTAAATATAAATTCCCATGTCTCCATATTCAACTCAGTACCAATTCAGTAGCATCAATTTTATCTTTCTATTGATTAATTTCTCCAAGGAACCCAGTCCCCTGAAGGAGGTTGGTCCCCTCCCACCAGTGGTGGAAGCCAGGAGACTACTGTTGAGTATCCTGCCCAGGGTGATAGCTGCCCTCACTGTGCTCTGGAAGGCCATTGATATCTCTGAGGCCAGGGAGGATGAGGAGCAGCCATGTTGGACTATGGGAAGTCCCAAGGTAAGGTGAACTGTTTTTGAAAGATTATTGCAAGGTGCAGTTTTCACTTTTCAAAATTTCGCAAAGGTTGTTTAAAAAAGAGACAAATATATCCAGGGATATCTTTAAAATTGTGTTATTGGAATGTTATTAAGGTAAGTAGTGCGTTGAAGTATCACCTTGTTAGTAGTAAGTTATACCTTTCTTAGAATGTATGAAAGTGCCATAGTGATTCTACAAGCAATTATTAGCCTTTTTAGCCTTGATGTGTTGTGAAATTGGTTGTTTTATATGCAGGCTGTACGTCAGTGTATCTTGGAGTTTCTGAGTCCTATCTCGCTGTACCATGGTGTGAACCTGCTGGGCTCTGTGGCTGTGGTATGGAATGACAGAAGGAAAAGAGAGGCTGGGTCACATAGAAAGGTAAGAAATCAAACTTATTATTTAAAAATATGCATCATTTTCAAAATATATATTTTTTCAAAAATATACATTCAATATTTAAAGCTTCTCAAAACTTTGCTTTTGGTTTAAGCCACTTAATCTTCCGCTACTAACTTTAAAGTTTGCTTCTGCTACCATGCTTTTCTTAGAAATAATGAAATTACATAAAATCATGAAAAATTGTGTGACAGCAGTAAGATCCATATCCTTTTTATAACATGTTTTATTTTAAACTTAAATCTTTTAATCAGAAAAAGGCAAAATGGAAGAAAGTAGAAGTAAGTTGGCGTGGCATGGGAGCTTTATTTTGAATCAGATAATGAAAGCTTGAAAAGATTTACATTATCAAGTAGACATACTTTGTGGCTCAGTCATTTGAATATCCTTATTATCGGTGAAGGTTAGATGTTGTGTGACTATCCTGATATGGGCTGCTTTTTGTGTTGGTGCAGATAATCTTAAGACTTAAAATTAATGCATGAGTTGATGCTTTTCTTCTTGAAACGTACATGATTATGATGTCATTGATGATGTAATAGATAGTACTTTGATAATTCAAATTAGATTTTATTTTTCTACAAGTCTCTTTAATCCACTACTATCAAAATGAAAAAAAGCATTGCCACTGCACATATAAAAAAGATCTTCATGTTGTGTCCAATTTGGGCATGAGTAAATGAAATAGTTCTTTAGGTTTGTGAAGGGTCTTTTGGGGATTCATTGAATTTCATTGAATTTGAATTCATTGAAACCTTGCTATTCAATTTGTAGGAGGGACGTTGCATTGTGTGCTATCGGTGTAGAAGTAGTACATCACAGTGCTTGGTTTAAAGGGGGCAGTTCATGTAGTATTGAAAAATGGTTGAAACTGGACAAAAAAAATCCAATTATGATTTGATTTAGAGCTGCTGTGTTATCATGAACTTTTTTTCTCAAGTTTGCACATGCATTATGAACTCATATGATTAGAGCTGTGCAGGATACAAATCTCATTGCTGTTTGGTACACCATTGTCATTGATAAGGATACTATATCAAATGATGCAGGCAAAGAAGATTGTTGTAATCAGATTTATAGTTACGAGAATGATCTTTAAAGTAACTAAGTAAGCACTTTTATTCTGTGCATTAATATCTTGATGCAGAAAATGATTGTTAACATAAATTAATGCACAATTTTTTGTTCTTTAAACTTCAGTTTTACACAGAAATAGCTGTTTCTGTCAAAGACTGTTTAACATTATAATAACTCCTCACTCCAGGTAATTCCAAACTGGTGTGAAGACCAACTGTTGCTGGTTGAATTGGTCAGTTCTGTCCGAGTACTGCCCACTGACACCCTGATCCAGACCCTGAGACAGGTGATCAAGTCTCCTCCACCCACCAACCAAGACAGGAACAAGGTGAGAATACTGTGGTGTATAGAGAAGAAAATAGATTGATTAACATTGATATTCTTTTCTTGATTACTGTTTGAAAATGAATTAGTGGAATGTTTTAAGTAATAGAAAAATGATTTTCCATTCTTTAAATTTTATCATGTACCCACGTATCTGATATAAATGTTTTAGAATTGGTGGTTCCTTTTCCGTTTTTGGGTTTGCTTTCCAACTTATTGCTTCTTAAATTTTTGTATTACTTTTGGTTTTGTATTATTCCACATACAGAAATGAGTCACCCTTTTATTAAACTTAAATGAAATCAAACTCAAACTAACTCATCATTACTAATCAAGTATTTAAATATTTTATCATCCAGAAGCGTGTTCCCCTGGAGGTGAGCATGCTGCAGTTCTTCTATGCCTATGTGGAGAGGACACCTGCCCCTCAGCTGCTGGACAGCTGGTCCTCCCTGCTGGCACTGTTCAAGGAGGGACTTCAACTGGCTCTGGTACCCCCAGGACAGTTCCTGCTGCTGGGGTGAGTCTGGCCGGGTTCACAGCAGGAGTAACTTGGACCAGAAATAGTTTAGTGACATCACCAGTAGACCAGATAGCATAAAGAGCAAATCTTAGAATTTTAAGCAAAGTTATCATCTGATGACTTCAATATATTGGTTGCTTGCTTGCTAGCTTTTATCAAGTATCTGTATTATGAAGCTTTTTATTAGAAGATAACCAAACCAATTTATTTTGGAATTCAGTTTGTGACTTTCATTCAAAAGCCACATGTATTTCACATGCTGGATAATTTTAAAAAAAGTCTTATCCTCTTCATTTGCAGTATTTTGCATGTGTTTGTGCATAAAATACCCCCAATGGAGTCCAGGAAGGATCACAAAGATCTGCAGGTACAGTGTCAACATCTTGTCACTTTGTATACATAGCCATTGATAGCAGTTTGTTTCTTACGATAAATGTGCGAATCATTTAAAAGTGGTGATTGCTGAAATGTAGAACTTGAGATATTGTCATTGGCATTTCATAACAGTGGACCCATTGTAACAGCATGTTGTATTTATTACTACATAGGATATTGCTCAAAAGCTTCTAGAGGCATGTAGCTTGATTGCCGGCTCTTCCCTTGAGCAGACGACATGGCTCAGGAGGAACCTGGCCGTGAAACCAGGCCCCCAGAATGATGTTGTGGCGGCAGAAGACCATGAACATGACGCTGAGGGTACAGACTCTTTGCTAAGCATTGAAATGCCTGGAATTACAATGAAATGTTCACAAAAAATATTTGAATTGAGATCAATTTTAGGACCTAGCTTTGTTTATTTAAGACTTAACTATAATTTTAGTGCCAAGGTTTTTTGCCAAGTATTTATTATTACTAAAATTAAACACAAGTTTAATGAATTTCAAAATATTGTAAGAATGGAGTGCTCATTGATTGATAAAAATTGAAAGTATTGTTGCTAAGGTTCAAACTTTTTAATTTTATTTTGAATGTCAATTTTCAGGACCTTCCTCTGTCCCATTGACCCTTGCTCAGTCCAAGGCAGTCCTGAGCTCCAGTCATGCTCAGTACAGTGTTCAGGCCCTGGTCATGTTGGCAGAGGTAGGTGGAACACACTCTCTGAAATAGTGGAACTGTGGCAGAATGTGGAATCTGCTATCCAGTAATAAAACAATGTGGAATCCAGTTTGAAATTGTGGCAGAACATGGAACTCACTCTCCATAACAGTGGCAGCCTGTTAATCTCAGATTGTATTCTTAATTTTTAAGTGCACCTCTTTCTGACAGTGGTCAAATGCATATGCTTTGCTGTACTGTAAAGTTTGGTTACTTTATATCAACATTGTTTATGTGTGTGACTCTTTTGAATTTGCTCCATTTGTTCTATTCCAGACAATTGCCTCAGTCCTGGACATAGTGTATGGCAGTGATGAGAAGGACAAAGTTGTACCATTTCTGAATGCAAATATCATGTACCATGTCTTCCCTTACCTCAAACACCACAGGTTAGAACAGGCTACTGAGCTTACAGCAGTAAAACAAGATATAACAGATATAATAGAAAGCCTATAAATGTAACCTTTTTAATCCTTGATGAAATATTATTATTAAAAGCTAATTAAAATATGATTTTGAAACAGATTTGAAGTAGATTTATTTTAAATTAAAAAGTGATCTCTTTTATTTTTGACAGTTTCGGACAAATCCTGTATGCATTTTCTGTATTATACACTGATATTTCTGAATATTTCAGCACACACAACCTCCCCAGCCTCCGTGCCTGCTCCCAGATCCTGTGCAGCCTCAGTGGATACCAGTACACAAGGAAAGCTTGGAAAAAAGAGGCATTTGAGATGCTTCTTGACCCAACCTTCTTCCAAATGGACGTTATCGCTCTTCAGAATTGGAGAATAGTCATAGACAACCTGATGACCCATGATAAAACCTCATTTAGGGATTTGATTAGTAAGTGCTGTCTCCATAAACATGTCATGTGGCTTTAGTAATTATATTGGTGTGATAGCATTACTTAGTTTTATTAGTGGGTTGTTGAAAAGCAACTTCTGTAGGCTGTTTATTGTACTGTTGTTGGATTTTATTTAAATAAACTTAACACACAATTAATTTGATTTATTTATTTATTTATTTATTTATTTATTTATTTATTTATTTATCAAAATATATTTTGTTCTTAAAGCAGCAAGCATCCAAATGTTATCCTGTAAAAATTTCAAATTGATAAATCTGTTTTGGCCATCTTCCAGCTCGTGTGTCTGTCAATCCCTCCACAGCCATTAACATATTCTCCAGTAAAGAGCAGGAGTTTGAGCAGAGAGCACAGCTGTTAAAGAGGCTCTCCTTCACCATATTCTGCAGTGAGCTGGACCAGTATGCTAGATATATGCCAGAAATACAAGGTAGATTTTTAGTAAGGTGTCATTTTTATGCCTGATATTGTGTTGGGCACTGGAGAAGCTGAAAATGATAATATTATAGAGTACTACACTAAACAGTGTTGTTTTTCATGTGACATAATTTTATGGCACAGCAAAAAAGTTAAATAATTGCTTTTACTGAAAGTTTGGTAATTTGTTCTCTGCACTGAAAGCTGTCAGTGTGCCAGAGCATCTTGCTGAAAACCCATGGCATATTGTTTGTTGAATTACTTAGTTTTCAGAGAGCATATACAGTATTTAAATCCTGTCTGTATGTGGGGAAGAAAAAAGTTGTAAGTGGTGCTGTTTGACATACCAGCCATTGTTTATTTGGGTTAACTGACTGGTACGAATGTTATGTTCCAGAGCGTCTTGCTGAAAACCTGCGTAACTCCCTAGTGCCTGCAGTCCAGCAGCAAGTTTTCCTGTGCTTCAGGGTGCTGATGTTGAGGATGTCCCCACACCACCTTACCTCTCTCTGGCCAACCATGATTACTGAGCTGGTGAGGAGACTGGCCACAGAGCTGGCTTGGTGGCTTTAATTAATATATAGTAGTTTTAAGTTACATTGTTTTGAATTATGAAGTGGTTTGCTGTTTAATATGTTTGTATGTGGATTAGACAGAAAATATGTAAGTGGTGCAGTTTGCTATTACAAGCTATGGTTTTGAGTGAAATCTACTTTTTAAAAATTGTCTTTCAGGTGCATGTTTTTCTTCAAATGGAGCAAGAATTAGCTTCAGACTTTGAAGATAGAGGGTGAGTTGTAGTATTTGAATGAAAGTGCAACATGTAATGTTTATAATGAACTATTGAAAAGATGCATCAACTACTTACCCAAGTTTATGCAATTTATACATTGATATTTTTAAAACTGGTGAGAAAGTTGGACGCCTTTAAAGTCTTCCCTTCAACATTTACCTTGTGATTATTGCATTGTCTTTTCAGAGCTACACAGTAACATATATAACAGTTGGTTTTGTACATGCCATGAAAAATATTGACAATTACTTACAAATACACTTGCTTGTCTTTACTTAAAGGATGTTAAAAAAGAATAAAAAGAAATCCAGGTATTGATATTGTGAGATGTGCATGTAGCCTGTACCATGCATAAATTCCTGCCTTCATGTCATTTAATTTCTGCAAACTAACAATGAGGAATGAATAAGAATCAAAGCTGTGAACAGTCAACCCTCTCTGCCAGTCTTGCACAAAATACATGTTGTTTCTGTGACATTTTGTTTTGATTGATATGTCAGACAAAAAGTCTTGATTTATGTTTGGGTCATTGCACATCCGTTCCTTTTTCTGTGACATTGTTTGTTCTTTGTGATAAAATTTTCACTTCACAGTTGTGTTAGTTCAACAGAGTTGAAAAATGGTGCAATAATTTTGCTTTATTGCATTTCTTGGTTATGGGATTTCAAAGGGTTGAAAGAGTAGTATGAATTAAGTTGTAAATATTTAAAGAAAGGGAATGTTCTGTGAAGTGATTTCACCTTGTGTCAGATACATCAGTTTACTGTCAAAATCACAATGTGTGAACCTCCACGTAACTTGCATAAACTGCACCTGTTGAAAATCTCAAATGACTATTTATGAATCATGATAGCATTAATTATTTTGATTCAGCATGTTTGTGTGGATTATGTGTATGATGACTGTGTGAACGCATTCGTACATTATGCACATCAGTTAGTGAATGTGTGGAGTGTGATGTAACATCTAGTGATGCCTTAATTGTTCAGTCATTTTTGTTGTGCATATAGATATGTTTTGTGAAAAGTCAATTTCCTTGCATGAGTATTTGTACGAGTAACTTGCCATACACTGTATGTAGTTTGCTTTGTGAAAATATTCACTTTTCATTTGTTAAATTAACAACAGTGTTATAAAATTCTTCAAAGTTGCAGACTAAATTATCTTTTACATACCTAACAAGAGCTTTACCAGAAACTCATATTAAAACCTTAACTCTATAACAGTGTGTATACCAAGATCTGTATTGTATTGCAGACATAGTCAGAGCATGGCTAACTTGGACTCTACCTGGGCCAATGGTTATCTGGGCCACAGCAGTCCTGACTGGCTGCAGCTGTACCTTGGGGCCTGTAAACTGCTGGACCTGGCACTGGCACTGCCTGCTGAGATGCTGCCACAGTTTCAACTGTAAGTGTCGTGAAGGAAGTGCTAGATCCTATCCCCCCCTCCCCCCGACTGCACTAGATCTCCCCCTCCCCCTCCCCCCCAAGTTTCAACTTCATATTTCTGACCTTTTTTTGTTAAAAATTGAGTATTTTTTTTTCAGCTCTAATTTTTAACTACTGTTATAATTGTAGATCATATGAAAAGACTCATGATGGCAATATATTTCATTCAGGGTCAGGAGATAATGGGGAAACAATGAAATTGTTAGAGTAATTTACACCAATAGTTCCCCCTATAGCTTAATGTAGAATTTTATTTATATGGCAATTGGATTTCATAGATGGATTTCCTTTGTGCCATTCTCAGGTATCGCTGGGCATTTGTTGGGGACCCTGGTCTAGAGGAAGAGCAGAGGAAGCCTGGAACATCCTGCTTCTCACCTCACATTGTCAGACTAGCTAAGATTATGAAAAAGAAGGTAATGGCGTATTTCTATCTTTATTTTCAGAAGTTGTTTTGGGTTAGGGTGTGAAACAATTCTTGCAGTTCAAGCATTTATAATTTTATTTTATTTTAAATTGATTATCCTTATGTAAAAATGTTATTTTAATATGGTCAGGGTTATCAGATCTTGTTATTCTTGAGTATACATATTTTGTCACATTTAACTCAAATCTGAACTCTTTTTCAGTCAAAAGAGCAAGTCCGCCTCATTATGAGAGAGCCAGGCAAACCTCTGCTAACAACCTCCTATATCAAGACACTGTACGACCTGCATGGCTTTTTCAGCACCCTTAGCCAAAGCAGCCAATCTGGATACAGCTTACAATCTGTTTCAACAGCAGACGGCCAATCAAAGTCAGCCATTCATAAGTCAAAATCTGCCCCTGATATGCGGAGGGTCAACTCGATCACTTCTCTGCCCTCTTTGAGATTGGAATCCATGAGTAACAAGCGGCTGATTGAATTTATCATTGAGAAAGATTTTGTAGAACCTATGTAATTAAATGCAGTCTTGATATGTTCTTTCCAGCAATAATAGTCCATGAAATGGTTGATGAGGACAGTTCATCACGAAAAATAAATATGAATGTTTCAGGATTGTGTCAGTATTTTCTTGAACTGACATATCATATACACGTGTATGTTTATATGTAATTATTAATGGACATTGACTACTGAAGATCTATTGTGTTATTTATTTAATGAAAAATTAAACAGTGGTGGTCCAAACAATAGTAACACAAAGTAATTAAGTATTAAAAATAGTATTGAAGTATTAAAGAGCATTTTTTTCTGTCAATATTTCTACATTCTTGGCTGATGTTCATTTTCATTTTTGCAGCAGCAATTTAATAATGCACGTTAGGTGAATCTGTTTTTTCTATACCTTTATCTTTTTCTTTTTTAGTGTGTTTGTGTGCAAAGGCATTAAAGCTTTTCTGTTTATAGAAAACTAAGCTTTTAACTAAATGGTTCATTCTTCTTCATGCTTTTTCATTTTTCTTCATTCATACGTATTTTGAATTTCAGGATATGGGGGTATGTGGACTGTTCTTGTTTGGGGATTGAAAAGTAATCAAACTGATCCAAATCTTGTTTCACCCTTATATTCATATCTAGTTAAAATATAAAAAAATAATGCTAATGGGCAGTAGAGATGTGCATGTACAAAGTAACTGTAATTTATTTTGAAAATCAAGAAATAACACTTTTGCTTGATGGAAATTTGGAACCATTGTACTAGGTCCATGGTTCATTTTTAGTTAAGGTGTGGAATATGCGGCTTTTCTGGTTTTTTAAACATTTTGGTATCATTATTTAAACTGAGAGTTTGCATATAATCAGATAATTGTTTCCACATTGATCATTTCAGTCAAGTTTGTACCATTAAAATTAATATGTATTATTCAAGACTTTTTTCTTATTATGTGATGGTTTACATTGTTTAAAGGCTGTCGTTTTATTTTGACTTTTTTGTACTTTGAGGTTTGTGCAATACTATTATATAAGTACTATTATACTACATCCCTTTAATTAATTGACCAATCAATAAATTACTCGAGGAAATATTATGATCAGAAACATCTCTTAGATGAAATTCCTAGAATTGCAACAATATTACTAAGAATTGCAAGAATATTTCAAGATGAATGACAGTTGCAGTGGTATTTGGAATGTCGGTGCTAACTAGCTATAGTGATCTGTATTAACTGTGATACTGGAGGACATTCTTGATTTTTTCCCCTATTTTTGTTCTATTAAAATTTTTCCTGGACTTGGAAGTTGTTAACTAGTTATATGGAGTTAGTTTGAGTGTACCAGAAGCATTGAAGCTTTGTAGACACATTTGTAAGTTCTTATGACAGAAATGTCACAATAAACTACCCAGGTGCTGGTTTATTTGAATTTTAAGTGACTTTTACTGAACAAAATGCTATTAACTTAAACTTCTTAACATAAGAAAGATTCATTTAGTATTGCTGCGTTTTAGAAGGTATTGGTTCATATATAAATATGCACTATTGGAATATGAAGAAAAAACAATATATACAGCTCAACCAATTTTATTTTTTACAAAAGCTATTATATTTTATCAATCAATTACAGATCAAAAAGCCATATTTTATCACAAGTACTTAAAATCACAGTTTCATACAATAAGCAAATGGTTCAGCATTATTACAATAAACTTCTTTTCTCAAATCGATGAAATCAATTTGACCACAAAAATACAAAGACCCCTACAATATTAAGTAACCTAAATTCTTAGTAAGAGTAAAGACTTAAAGCTGCTCAAAGGTCTGTGGCTTACTACTCCAAAGTTCAGATCCAATGCAGGGTAAGTTGGCTTCCTCATTTTCAAATGTCTAACCTAAGACTGCTTGTCTATCAGATCTGAAACTAGCATATATATAGGGTAAGAGTCATTCCATTAATATTACAATGTAGAACAAACCGAACCATACAGCTTTAATGTGTAGTGTAGGTATTAGGTGCACTGTAGTGAAAAACTATACCTTGGCAGCACTATCCAAAAATGTCCATCAGAAAGAAAGGACAGTAAAGGAAAATCCAATACCTTCTGACAGACTATTTTGTGTATTTCAAACAACATTCCTTCAATATTACACAGCATGGTTTCCAAGCCAATTCTACAGTCCCACATCATATGCTTCCACATTAACAAGTAAGTCGCTCTACTTGCAATAAACATGTCACACAGATCACAGAAACATGGCTATATAAATTATGATACTTCTTAAAACTTAAATAAACTTTATTCAATCGAACAGTGTTACATTTGATGAAAATTGATTAATGAATGCACTTTGAAATATGGTACCGTGGATTCAAGTCTGTTTGTAGAAAGTCATGTAAATACACCCCACTTGTATCCTGTATATACCCCACTGGTCATATATATATAATATATACCCCACTTTTTGTTTTCTTGTAAAAAGCTGATTGATCAAACTTGCATAGCCCTGGTCCTAGCAAAAGCTGTCAACATATGTATTTCTCAACGATAACCTGTATATACCCCACATTTATATACCAACAGAGACAAGCTAGCCACTGCCTGTAACTTTACTTTTTATTAAACTCTGACAGACAATCAACAAACTTTCATAATGAACGAAAAGTAATGCATAATGACTGCAGTTTTGTGTGTTATATTTTAGCTCAGGGATGCAGTATGGGTATGGAAAATATGGCAAGTTTTGGTACCCAGTGAAAATCCCACCAGGCTCCAAACACATGCACTTTGATGATGGTTTAATTAAGCGAAGGACCAAAAACAATTATATGTCTCTTCAAGTTCCTTCTATTGAAATTGAGGTTCACAGTGCGCTTGATGAACTTCAACCACTTGGTAAAGCGCTCAGTAATAAAGTCAAAGACCTGGCCATAACTGTGAAATGCACCACAGGAGAAATCAAGGCATTCAGCCGAGAAGACTTAATCATTCCAGATGCAGAAAGTGCAAAGGTATCTGTTTTATCTTAGACTAGAGAAGAAGTAAATAACTAAAACAATTAAACATTAGTTATTAATCATTTTGATGTGGTATTATACTTAAAATAGCAAATGTATTTTGATAAATTATTTTAGATTATTATGGATTGTGTTGCTGAATCAGAACCTCATGACCATTTTTGTCCATATGCCAAAAACTTTTTTTATCAAATTACTTCTTTTGTACAAAAATCTTTTCAACTTGGAATAGTTTTCTTGACAGAAGTTTTATTTTACTTGAAGGTCCTGGAACAAGAAAAAGATGGAGAAAATCAACTTACAGATGCAGCGATGAGAAAATGAGAAAAATGATTCAAAAGGAGTGGAAGTTGAAGTTGAAAAGATAGCACAAAGTCTGTACAGTAATCAAGCAACATGTGGTGCAGGATGTGAAGAGATGAATGTGAAGGGAAATGTTATTAGTTTGGATTTTCAGCAAAGTACACAACTCCATCTATCTTATCCTGCATTTATCGGTACTTCTGTTATTCCAAACCTTTCACCTACTACAACATCCAACTCCCCAACTGAGACAGAAGTTGGGCCAATGTCCCCAGATAACATGCCACCAGTGGGCCACCAGTGGCTATAAACGGCAAACAGCCACCAGTGACCCACCGGTGTACCGGTTAGCTGGTGGCAGTTTGCCGTTTATAGCAGTTTTCCCCCTGACTTGACATTATACTCGAGTTCAAATTGTCAGCATAAATTTAATGGGAGAAAACAAAAGGGAAATTTAGTTTCCATGACGTCTGGACATTTTGATTAATGAAGCTGGTGATTTATGCCCCACATGGTTAGATAGGATGATATCTGACCTCCATACAAGTCTTGATGAAGTCAGATTGTATAACATCTTTCTTTTGAAAAAATATACAAAATCTCACTTTGGGGCAAAACGCCCATGGTGATATGGGGCAAAACGCCTATAGTGGGCGTTTTGCCCCGATCACTGGGCATTTTGCCCCTTTTCGTTTTTTCAAAAAAAAATAGTGCAAAAAAGATGTGAAAATGTTCTTTCATGCATGTTTTGTTTTTATTGTATATCATCAGTTATTACACTTATATGAGGAAAAGCCAAAGCAAGTGGCTGTACTAGGAACTTAATTTTGGAAGTATCACAGTGCCCTGCCGTAAAGAGTAGAATTACAGCTGAAGTTTCAAGTCATTGAAATGGAGAGACGAGTCTACGGGTTAAAATCCTTGCATTTCATGTAGCAGAAAAAGCACAGGTCACCCATCCGTTCAACAAAATGTTATGGATGACAGGACAAGACGGGTGCAAGGGGCTTGTCTCTCATCATGGTTTAAGCATTCGTTAGCCTGTGTTAAGGACCCGTCACACTAAAGGCGGAATGTGCAAGAATGCCGTAGGAAAGACAATTCTTTGTACGTTCCTGGATTCTCGAAGAGCATTCTAAATTTCTAAATGCATTCCAAATATTATTACCCATTCTTGTGGCCGTCCCGAATGTTTTGCTCATGCTAAAAAACTTTTAAAGTGCATTCCAAGTTGAGAATGGCATTCTAAAATGTATTCTAACTGCACTATGAGTGCATTCTAAATATTCTTAGGGCATTTCGACAGCATTAGAAACATTCTGATCACGTTCAAGGGAAAACTGTATAGAAATGGCAAGACACTTCAAATCCTGCTAGAATGAGCCGGAATGCAACTCGAATGCATCTCGATGGTTACCAAAATCCTATTTCAGCCAGCAATACTCGTTCAGCATTTGAAGTGTATTCTACATATTTTGACTGCATTCTGACAGCATTATCGATATTCCTAGTTTTCCAACTATTTTCGAGCTGCATTTAAGAGCTAATACAGCCGAAATGTGCACGAATCATTCCAGGCAGATTCAAGCCCATTCTGGGTATTCCAACGGCATTCTTACAAGAATTAAGGTCAATTTGAAATTTCTTCCCGAATGTAGTACGAATTTTGAAAATTCTTCAACCCAGCTGGTTCTGCTCGATTCCTGCTGATTCCGAATAAATGTGACGGGGCCTTTACGGAGAGAAGTCAGAAGTTAGTTTTGAGAGTTAGCTTTACTGTTTGGTCATAAATTTAGCTCTTTATTCTGCCCACGTTTGACATTTCCCTGTCTTTTCACAGTAGAGAAATAGGGGAATTATAAATTGTGAAGGAAACGGAGTGAGACTAGTTGAATGACAAAGATACAATTGAGATAGAGTTCAACTGTATAATGATAAAATAGCTGTTTATTATGACCAATTTTGACTTTTCCAATCTTCTCAGATTAACGAATGGAATGGAGACTTTCAAAATTACTTGAACGATATTAAGACAATTGTACTGTTAGTTTTGATATATAGCTTTACTGTTTAAAACAATACAACTGTTCATTCTGAATAAATTTGATGGGTATTTTTATTATCTTAGTACCCCAAAATATTATCTGTTGCTTAAAATGACTTCTAAGTTGTCCTGTAGAAATATAATTTGATTTTATTTTGCTTTGTACAAAGGCGGGGCTAACGCCTATAGTTTGGGGCAAGACGCCCACGGTAGGCGTTTAGCCCCGTGGTGCGAGGCGTATTGCCCCAGCAATGGGGCAAAAAGGCCGAATTTATAATTCACATATTTTTTACCTATAAGGTTTTTCGTTTGTTTGTTTCCAAAAGTGTTAGTATCAGTTTGTAGTTTAGGCAGCCCTTCAGGAAATGTATTCCCTAAGAGCTGAGGGTGAGTCTTCTGACAAAATCTACGATTCTGATAATGAAGCAGAGTGGACTGATCTGGAAAATTTCGTCTGGAACAGATTCTGATGATAGCAGTGATTCTAGCAGTCTTGAGGACACAGATGACGAGGATAATTTGAGGGAGAAAAAACTTCGTGAGTGGGCACTTAATAGTGCCACGCCACTTACACATGTGTATAGCCTCCTCATGCTTTTGAGGCCTAATTTGCCAATGTTTCAAAAAGATGGTCTCAAGAACAATCTCTGATGGACTATAGCCCTTGGACAATTTCTGCCTAGAGAATTCATGAGAAAAGGAAGAAAATTAACTGACACTGAGCGATGGAAAGCTTCTGAGTTTAGGACATTTTTACTATACACAGGACCTGTAGTATTGAAAGGAAAAGTGTCTGACATTGTATATACAAATTTCATGATGTTGTCAGCTGGTATTTTTATGTGAAAGAAATGTTTTTATCTTTTGTTGAACATTTTGCGGCATTATGTGGTAAAGAGATTATCAAATACAGTGTTCATGTCTTAACACATTTAGCAGATCACTCAAAGTTATATGGTCCATTGCATCTATTTTCAGGATTTCCATTTGAAAACTACCTGCACAGTTTTAAGAAATTAATAAGAAAACCTAAATTTCCCCTTCAACAAGCCATGTTGAAAAGATGTAC